ATCCTGTGGTAATGGCAAGCTAGTGGAACAATGTTTCCATCATGGTTTCACCCAAACCCTCCAAACCAGAAGGGAAAAAGTTCTAGCGCCAGCATGACTGGCCTGGGAAACAGGCAAGACGGTCTTGCAAGGTTTCATGTTACATGCTCAAAACAAGACTGCTCCGTGGCCTCTTGCGTCTTCGGTGCCAGGCCACTAAATGAATGCAGGCACACTTACCCCTCTAACCAGTGGAGAACCAAGAACTTTCCTAGGGTGAGCCTTTATATTTTCCAGACTTCATCTCCTGGTATGGCTTCTTCTAGAAAGGTGGGAGTCAAATGGCGAGAGTGAATTCCATGGAACAAGAATCCGTTTGTGGTCATTTAGCAGATCGAGCATGTTTCATACATGCCACTAGAAAGTCAACTATTTTCTCTAAATCAGCCTTACAAACTCAGCCTTTTACAACCAGAAGGTTAAGACCTTTCTTTTAGAATTAAAAAGGAAACCAACAAAATGCAAAATAAATTATATTTTAGCATACTTCCTTCCCCACAAAGAGTTCACATCTCCAAGAAATGAAAACATATACATTGTCGGCCAAAGGCAAGGATAAGTATATTTGAAGGTAAACATGCTATTGAGTTAAGACACACACAAGATAATCCTGCTCGTGCTGTCTAGATTCCTTACAATAACTTGGTCACTATCTAGGAATTCTGAATCTTGATGTGAATGATCTGATAATGTCTTGGGGGGGAGGGGCAGAGAATGGGGGTGTCTTCAAGCAGTTGAAACTATGTGTCTATGTAAATGACCTGCTTCTGAAAAAGGGGCTTTACAAACTGAGGAAAACATCCCTTACTGGAGAGCTAATTGTCAAAAAGAAGAAAGTTAACAAGCCCTTTGATACATCAGTCCAGAAGCCAACAGTACCCGTGGTGGCTTGAGAGCCAGAGAACACAAAGTGAAGAATAGCATTAGCTTGGGAAGGGGTCCAACACACCCAGCGGCACCCCCAGGGATGGTGGCCTCCAGAAGCTAAGTGTGCTAGGGCAGGTGAGGGTCACAGGAGAACGTGTTGTGTCCCTGTCACAGGCAGGTCTCACACTGAAGTCATACCCAGACATGGGTTCAAAGCCAGTATCAAAACCAGGTGCTGGCTCCTGCCCAGTCTGCCCTCCCTTCTTAGGGCCTCCCAACGGCTTCCAGGGAGGTCCCTAAGCCTCTCATGCACTGGGGCATGGTTTCCCGTGCTAACTCACTTTCTGGGTTAGGTTCCCACCCGTCAGAGAGGTTAGTGACTGTGGTCACACAGTAAACTAACATGGAAGGCAAAGTCAGAGTTGACTTCCAAGTGGGAGACCTCCTCCATCCCATCATGCACCATCTTTTTCCCCAAATACCCTTTTAAAAAAGAAGTTGCAAATATGGTTATTAGTAGACAAAATAACCAAATTTGAAGTGTCTAAAATAAAACTGTCAACACCACACTCATTTTTGGCAACTTTAGTATCTAAGTTTGATGGCTACCCTGACCTTGGTCTCTCCTGCTAAGTGGATGAATTAACACATACACACTACGCAGCTCAGATGGGATGTTAGGCTCGTAATGTTTGTTCCAAGATGTTTGACTTTTCCAACCATCTAAGAGCCTGAAGCTTACATCCAAGTCTGAAACTGTTGGAGCCATTTAGTGGTCAGGATTCTACACAGGCTGTGCTGAGCACCCCCACATCAGTCATTAAGACTTGGAGGGACACACGGGGGCAGCTTCTCCAAAGTTCCAGGCTTCCTTCTGAGGGAACTACCGATAGCTGGTTCCAAAGTTCTCAGTACTAAGAGAACAGCTGACAGAGAGAAGCCCAGAGCTACTGTGTGCTCCTCCATGGGGGAGTACACATGTCCTACTCACGGGTGGCCTCATCTGGACTGCAGGAGGCAGGAGAACATAGCAGGACAGCAATGGTCTGCAGCTCGCTCTTATCTTACCTGAAATGAACTTTGACAGGAGACAGTTCTCAAGTGATTCACTGCCACCAACAGTGTGCCCAGACGGCATCCCAATATTTTAGAGCCTGTCCTGGAACTGGTGCTGTAGACCAGGATGGTTTCAAACTCACAGAGATCCACCTGCCTCTGGCCCCCTCCTTCCCCCAGTGCCGGGATTAAAGACGTATGTCACCACCGCATGGCTCAGGTTTGTTCTTTTATGATTATAAATAAACAAACAAATAGATAAGCAAGCAAGCAAACAAATAAATAGAATCACACTTACTCCTGGATTTGTCTGTCAGTACTTGGGACTCCAAAAGCCCAGGTTAGCTCGGCCTTCAACTCATAATGCCCCTGCCTCCACACCTCCCTACACTGAGATTGCAGGCACCGGTTACTCCCTTCCGGCAGCTTTGTCCTGTTGGCTTCCTCTTTTGGAGAGCATATCCCCCATTTACCCTACTTCAAAAGCTGCTCCATAGATAGCGTACTTCTGAGGAAAGGGGTAAATGGTCAAAGCACGAGCCCTCTGAAGTTCAATTACTGATTCCCCCCCTCCAAATTGCTGTTTTCCGGTCACTTTCAAATCCCTACATTTTGTTCACCTTCCTTTTTCTGGTAACCTAATCCTCTCTCCCTTGGAACATTGAGAACCTGCTTTTTTCTTGAAAGAATTTAAATGACCACAAAAACCAAAGTGGACTGCTTTTTATGCATAAGACAAAAGCAATGATCTTTGAGTTATAAAAAGCATCTGATACTGGTATTTACTAAGTTCTGAGTGAAGGGAACTGTACTCCACACTCCAGACGTGGATCCTCACTTTCAGAGAAGATCCTAGACAACAGCTGTCCACAGCTGCTTCCAAATCATGATGGATTAGCTGTTTCACTGCCGTAAGAGTGCTGCCTGTGCAGGTAGTTCACACCCCAGAGCTGAGGACAAGGACGCTCAGGAGAAAACCACACACCCTGCTACTCACCTGAAGCTTTCTACCAATATTTGGTATGGTTTCATGAAAACAATTTTTTTGTTGTTGTTTTTTCCGAGATAGGTTTGGAGGCTCTGAAGACCAGGCTGGCCTTGAACTCACAGAGATCCGCCTGCCTCTGCCTCCCGAGTGCTGGGATTAAAGGTGTGTGCCACCACCACCACCTGGCATGAAAGCAATTTGGTTGATACAGAATCAATTCTCTCCTACTGAAAAAAATTTTTTTACAGGGTGAAGTAGCAGATACCTATAATTCCAGCATTCTGGGGGCTGAGGAAAGAGGATTGCCATCAACTCTGAGGCCAACATGAGCTATATAACAAGACCCTAAATAAATAAATGAGTGGAGGGAGCTAAGGTAACTGGAGATGTTTTGGGTGGGAAAGCCAATTCAGATCTAAGTGGACAAGCTACACACAGTCTAAAACCACCACAGAACAAACCAAAATCTAAGACTTCAATTTAGAAACTAGTTGCCAAAGCCGTTCTGGAAGTAGATTAAATATTCAGAACACAGTATAATGGGGGGAGGGGGGGATGAGACAGGATAACGTGGAAATTTAAAGTGAAACTAGAGAAAGACCTGACAATGTGCTTTTTAGAATAAAGCTATATTGAATACATGCCCACACACGTCTGACAGCAATGTAATTAAATCATTAAACTATCAACATAAATGTACATTTCCACCAAAGCATATCTAGTAGCATAATAGTAATCAACAGTGTATTTAATAGGTCAAGACAAACATCAAAGTAGGACAATACAGTGATGCTTTGTTGAGATACCACCATTTGGCTTCCTGTAATGAGGTATTTGCAGAAGTGTTTGTTCACATTTAAACTCAAGTTCTTTTGTAGGAAAAGGGGGGTGATCATAAGAAAAAAACAACCACACATCTCCTGCCCCCAACTTACACAGCGGCATGGCAGCTTCTGCACTTCCTCTCAACACCAACGCGTTTATAATGGATTTGTTACTGGCTTTTGTTTTTGTGGGGGGTGCTGGAGACAAGCACAGCACTCTGCCAATGAACTACACCCACAAAATGTACAGCTACTTCCAAGGGTGACAACTGTACATTTTACCTGCAGTGGGTGCCGACTCCAGAAGACAAGAAAATCAACGCCTCAAAACAAAGGAGCTGAGACTGCCAGAGTAACATGGGAATTATCTAGCAATAAGCTGCCAGTTCCCTGCGAAACTGACACTGGTTCATTTAGCCCAGATACTGGTATAGAGGACATAGGTAAATCGATTCATCTCTGATACAATCTCGTTTGAATTTTTCTAAACATTCATTTAGTGTGTGTGTGCGCGTGTGTGATGTGCGTGTGTGTGTTTGTGCGTGTGTGCGTAATCTGAGTGTGCGCACACGCGCATTCTCTCCTCCCACACTCCAGTCTTCAGGCTTGGTGACCCATCTCCTCTCTCCCCCACGTGCACCCTCTTGACTCTGAAATGATCAATTCAGCTGAACAAGGAAACAATTTCATTTTGTGACTTCTTTCCCTCCTTCCTCCTCAGCCTGTCTGTGAGATGTGTCCTGGTCTATCCACAGAGCCTGGACTGGCCTCAAGCACACTCTCCCAGTCTTGGCCTCCTCTGAGAACGCCACGCTTGCAGCTGCTCTCATCTGCTCACAAATGTCGCAGTGACCCCTATGTACAGGTCGGCCAAGCTCACCACCCTAAAATCTTCAACAAAACTGGCCACTTTCATTCAGATCATGAATTTACAGGCAGCAACTGCAAGCACTCACTAACTGTCAGCACGTGGTGACCACCCCAGTGTTCTTCGGGGGTTCTATCCTAATCTAAATAGGAGTTGGTGCTGCCCTGACAGCGCTCTGATGGCGTGAGGTGCTCCCAGGATTAGCCTGGATGACGGCTACTAGGTTTAACTTCAACTTGAAATACTTCATACTTGTCTGTAGTATGCTTAAGGAATTTATTCATCTGCTTTTTAAGTAAAGAAGCTAAGTTAGTACCCTACATCTTGAAAACTTTCTTTGAATGTAATTTTCACAGTCTTTACATTTTAACTGGCATTGTTTATTACTGTTTGGCTACATTCTCTATAATTCCAGCAGCATCTTAAACAGACAATGTGTCTATGTACAATGGAAAAAAAAAACACATAATGGCTTGCAACATCAGGTAAGAGCCACAGTTTAACTGTACATGTTAGGGATGTCTGATCAGGACAGCCTGTTTTCTGCACCATGAACAACTTACATGTAAGTCTCAGCATTATGACTTGTGACAATAAAGAAAAAAAATCCGTACAAGAATGAAATACAGCATCCCGGAAAAATATTGGTTTCTACCACACAGGCAGTTAGAAAATGTTCACATTTTAACAAATCTGTACAAACCACAAGAAACATTCTATGGGACCATCATCCCACCTTGATGCTAAGAACTTTCTAGAAATGTAGAATAACCATGAACAATTTATAAATCTAGTATCTATGTGTTCCACAGCCCTAGAACCTAAAAAACTGATTTAAAGAACTCAATATGCCCAACATGGATCATTTTACATGCCTTGATTGTTAATGAATGCCTGCTTTTAATATCTCTCTATGATGTACAGTCAACTTGTGCCTTCAAGGAGGTCATTCAATTTTTTTTTTTAGCAAAAAAGCAATATCATTTAGCAGCAATTAAAGCGCCTTCGAGAAGACTTAAAAAAAATACAATATCCAATTAGAAAAGCCGTATTTTTAAACATTTGTACAAGAATAAGCTGCTGAAACTCAGTAATTGTAATACGACATCTGTACAGTAATTTACAATAGAGCCAGAAGGGAATTTATCATTATCCTGCATAGAACTGGCCTGCTTTTGGTTACACACTGTCTCCTGTTTTAATGAACAAGGCCTGGAAACAAAGAAAAACGCCTGTTAATTCTAAAACCCTGAAAGCCCTGGGAATACTATAATTTAGTGACGTCAACTGATTGGAAACAGGCAGCTTCTCTGTGTTAAAGGTGTAAAGAGCCCAGAAACGGCAGCTCCCTTTTAACACAACTGGTGGGGAAAACGGACAAGTGATTCGAGGTACAACTTGATAAAAGCCAGAATAGGCAAACAACAAAGTCTGTAACTGTCCAAAGACCCTAACTCACATTCTATTACAAAACACCACGGCCGCTGTCACTCAGTTCTTGCTTTGGTTTCTGCAGATCAGCTGCCGAGTGCTGACGCTGTACCAGGCACTGTAGCTCCTGTGTTACAATGTCTCATAATTTTTCCATGTGTTCTTAAATAATGAAAAACTACCCTTCATATTAGAACTCTCTGGTAACAATCAAATATACTTAGGTATTATAAACGTTATTTACAGTGTCCCTCTTCTTTTGTAACATGGTATTTATTCCTGTTCCGTGCTGCTCCAGGGCAGGGTGAGGAGTGTGCGCACTGAGTCATTGTCCATCCTCACACACGACTCCATGGAGAGCTTTAGTTCATAATCACTTCCTACCCACGTCCTGTGTAAAAAAAAAACCAAAACACTCAAATGCACTCAAATTCAAGTATGCATCTGGATCATGCCAATCCTGGTGGAGGGTCAGTAAGTGATCACACTTGAAGAAGGAGGTGCAGGAGTTGCTGTCAGCCCAGACATGTGTAGGTTTCCTGAAGAATTGGATCTTCGCATGTGTGGCAGAAGGTAAGGGTCATTTGCCAGCTGGTGCACATCAAATCGATCTTCTTTTCGGTAAGCCAAACAGCGTCTTATGAAGGCCTTCAAAAAGAAAGATGGCAACTGCAAATGGCCGTCTACCTTCTAGATACCAACCCATCGACTCCTACGGAAGGGTGGACACATCTACGACTATAAACATTTTTTTTTTTTCCAAGACTGGGTCCCTGGCTGACCTGGAACAAGCTCTTGTCGACCAGACTGATCTTGAACTCACAGAGATCCACCTGCCTCTGCCTCCCAAGTGATATAAATAAAGACATGTGCCACCACTGCCCAGCTAAATAGATCACACCTTATTGGAAGTTCAAACCTTAAGAACTACTAGGGGTAAAAATGAAATCTCACTTTAATTTGACTCTTCCACTGATGCCCTTGGTGCTACATTATAGCCTCAATTATTGCTTCCCTTTGGATATATTGTTGCAAAGTTCCATTTCTGCTTACAAAATTATTTTTAACTTATTTTTATTTCATGTGCATTGGTGTTCTGCCTGCATGTATGTCTGTGTGAGAGTGTCAGACCCCCTGGGACTGGAGTTACAGGCCGTGGTGAAGCATGTGGATGCTGGAAATTGATTCTGGGTCTTCTGGAATAGCAGCCAGTGCCCTTAACCACTGAGCCACCTCTCCAGCCCTCCTTTTTTTTTTTTTTTTACATCTCAGCATTAGGGTGGGCAGACTGAGTAAGACCTAAAAGTAAAGAAGGGTCCAAATGTTTTAGTTTTTCCCCCAATTTGCAAAGAAAAGCGAGTTGCTGTACACACAGAATGAGGAAGCATATTTTAGTGCTTAACGTTGAAGACAGAATATCCAAAGACCAGAACAGTCCCCTGCTTCCAGAACAAGTCAGCAGCCATTCCGGCCACTGTGGCTACAGAGGCACTGACCACACCAGAACCACAACTCAAGACACTTCACAAAATGTATATGTACCTTGGCTTCACTGCTTACAACTGGTTTTACAGGGAACTGGACTTCTGTGGCTTTTAGTATTGTGTTTTCCTGGAGAATGTCTTGTTGAGATTGATTGTGACCAAATGGCTTTAAAAAAAAAAAAAAGAATAAAATATTGAAAACAAAGAATCACCACAAAATTGTTTGTATTTTAACATTTTGTCCTTAGTTAGTTGAAAGTTGGGTTGTGGTCTCACAGAAACAAGATTATAGCTAAGAACAGCCTGGAAAAGCCTACTCAGTCAGTCCTCAGAAGATAAACCCTATATGATAGAGAAGCAAATGAGCCTGTCATTCAAGTACTCAGGAAGAAACAGCTCTAGATTTAGAGCCAGGAGACCAGGGTTTGGTCTCTATACTAGTCAGTTCTTAACAATTTAACATAAGCTAGAATTGACGGGAGCTTCAACTGAGAGAGTTGTCTCAGTAAACTGGCCCATGGTAATGCCTATGGAGCATTTTACTGCTTGCTAACTGGTATGAGAGAGTCATCCCTGGACAGTTGGTCCTTGGGTGAACAAGAAAGCAAGCTGAACAGGCTGAATAAGCCAGTAAGAAGTACTCCTCTGTGGAGTCGTGCTTCGTTACTGCCTGGAGTTACTGCCTTTGCTTCCTTCAATAGTGGACTACACCTATGCCAACCTGCATATTTCTTCCTGCCCAGTTGCTTTGGTCATGAAGTTATTCTCAGCAACAGAAAGCAAGCGAAGATAAGTCTTCATATGCTGCACATTTCTGACAGGTTTCTCCTCCTCTCTTCTCATAGTGATGGAGACTGGGCAGAATGCTAACTACACAGTTCTGATTTTAATATTAGCCAAGGTTTGGGGGAAAACTAAGTTTGTTGGTATTTCTCGAAGTTACAGGAAGAATTGATACGCAGGCCAAAAGTTTCCAGGGGACAGAGGGAGTTAAGAGAAAGTATAGCAACAAAGGACATTACACAGTGCTTGACTTCAGAGTTCCCAATAGAAACTGTTTGGAGAAAGAGAAGGAGAAGACACCAACCAAATCAATTATTAATATAATTTTCATCTCTGGTCTAAAGAAGCAATGAAGAAGAATAAGAATGCCTTTTTTATGGAGGCTCTAAATTGATCCTAAGTTACTGAAAATGTGCATGTAAAAGACAAAACAGAACATCTTAACTTATTTCTACTCAGTTGAACTGGTGTGGCACAACTTACTTTTCTACCATAGAGACACTGAAAGAAGATGACTCCAACTGACCAAACATCAACCTTGTTGGAAATCTTTGGTGGCTCTTTTCCAACTACAAAGCACTCAGGAGGCAAATACCTATAAGTAATGGGAGGGGAAAATAGAAAGAAAAGGATGCAATGTTTAGCTTAATACTTTCTAAATATTATAATGCTTATTTTATTTATACATAACCTCAGTTTTCATCAACAAAAACCACCAAAGTTTTAATTCATTTGACTCCAGACCCAAAATACAACTTTGTAAGACAGTATATTTAAATCCAAAGAAAGCATTATCATCATTGCGATAGTGTAACTGTGACAGTGTTGGATAGACTGTGGTAGTATAATCTGAGTAAGTTTCCAATAACAGAGGGAACACTCTCCTATCCTACTCCAACAGTCTCAACTGAAGGCAGTTCTCCTAAAACACACACCAGACCACTCTCTTCTTTAAGCCACCCAAATCCTTCACTTATTCCAAGGAGACAGGATCTCGTATTTCTTATTGAAACATAGACCTATCCTAATTCACAACATAAATTTCAAGACCTATAATCACTATTATCCCCTTTTTTCTCCCAAACTGGCTAGTCAAGGCCAACTCACACACTTCTGGACACGAGCTTTCTCTGTTGACCTCCATGGACCATGTAGGACGACTGCCTTCCCATGTCAGGGGAGACTGATGTGGTGTGTCTACAAAAGCATCAACTTCAAGAAGTGTGAGGAGCTTTGATTTGCCATGCAGTTTCAAGCACCACCAGTGTGTGAAATATACTAGATATCAAAACACTAACTTAAAAATTTTTAAACTGCTATTTATAAATATGATATATGAAAAGTAAAAATAAGTTCGTTATCTTGCTATATGTAAAACAATCCACCAGGCAGTGGTGGTACAAGTCTTAGGTGCCAGCACTTGGGAGATAGAGGAGGCAGGCAGATCTCTGTGAGTTCTAGGTCAGCCTCGTCTACGGAGTGAGTTCCAGGACAGCCAGGGCTGTTACACAGAGAAACCCTGTCTTGAGCCACACCGGCATCCAGTACTTTGATAAATTAAAAACAGCAGTTAACCATGGTTCATTTAAAAATATTGTTTTATGCTACGCTGAAGGTGTCTCTACATGTGTGGCCAAAGGAGCACGGCTCTTGAACAGGCAGGCATCTCACCTTGCAAGGGAGCGATTGTATGAACAATTTTGTAGGTAACAAATCTGACTGTGCTAGTCACCAATAAGGGAAAGAAAGAAAACTGACTACAGATATTGACAACAATTTTAAGTTTTATAAATGAGAAGTATTTTATAAAAGCAATATACATGTTTTAAAAGGATCATCCCAGTCCCCAAATACACAGCTAAATAACTCAGAACACTGAAAACTAATCATTTGTTTGGACCACTGTGTCTATAGGAAATATATTCTTTTTGTTGTTGTTTTTGAAACAGGGTCTTACTATGTAGACTTGGTTGGCCTGGGCCTTACTCTGTAGACCAAGCAGGACGTCAACTGACAAAGATCCTTCTGTCTCTGGCTCCCGAGTGCCGGGATTAACAGTAGATACTACCACACCAGGCCTGAAAGTAAGTCTTATGTCTCTACATAAGAACATCATGACTATTGTCCTGCAGGCCCCTAAAAGAAGGTTCCCTAACTAGGCCCACCTATAAGAAGACAATACCCCCCCACCCACAATGCTCAACGGTAGTGAAGTCAAGGTAAGAAATCGATGAGTGTTCTACAGAAAAGGAAACTTTGTATTTACTATAGGTCTCTAGGATTTTTGTTGTAAAAAAAAAAAAGGATAAAACACTTCTAATTAAGACTATTAACTTTTAGGAAATGACAAGCTTGAGTGAAAGTTTTCTTCAATGGGAAAGCAGTAACTTGACTTTTCTGAATATCGCATTTTTAGGCAGTACCACAGGCAGATGATATGACTTTCATTTTGCTTAAAGATAACCATAAATATGATGAATTCCTCTCCAGTAAAGTAAACTCAGCAAGAATCTGAGCAATTCAGGGAAATGGTCAGCACAGGCCCAAGCAAACTGTGTGAAGGCTGCGCTGGGTCCTCAGTAGTCACTTGTGTAGGTTTTATGTAGCTCTTTTCCCAATAAAACCAAACTTCTTGCTAAGCTCATTTACTGTGAGAATTAGGTTAGTTTTGAAAATGTTTGTCTGTATTTTCTACTTTGGTGACCTTGGCAGTGTGAGAATTCACACTCATGGGTTTTTGTAAACACCCAGTGTCCGGTTAGTGTCATATCAACTTGACACAAGATGTACAAGCAGAAGACACTAAGATGTACAAGCAGAAGTCAAATAAATCCTTTGCTCCCCAACCTGCTTTTTGGTCATGGTGTTTTATATTAGAAACAGTAACCATAATTAAGTCACCTAAGGACTGATAATATTCTAAATGACTTTCACATTTCTACCTACATAAAGAGATTTTTGAGAGTGAAATCTAAAGACTAAAAACGAGTCTACAATTAATAAACACTGTATCTACCATTTAAAAACTATAAAATATCACAGAACTTCTACAGAGAAGGTCCAAAGTTCACAGTTCTTACTAGTGACAGTTGGGCATTACATCAGCACAAGTACGTATTTAGATCATAACGATCATTCACTATCACAAAAGAAAACTTATGAATTCCGATTCACTTGTTTCTGGCAGCTACATATTACAGTTGTATGTGTATGCTGAGCCACTCTTTTTGCAACTTTTGATCTTTGCAGTTAAGAATGCAGAGAAGAACCTATTAGCCAGCCACGGGACTCTCCTCCTCAATTCAGAGGCTCAGTAAATCAATGCCTTTGGCATAGAAATCTCAAAGAATATTTGAAACTAAAACTTAACTTTTATAAAACACTGGGGACTAAGCAGTCTTGATAAATTTACTAAACCATTTACCAGTAAGTGCCTGCCCCTTGGGAAGTCAGATCCATTCCATCTACACCATAGCTATCATCATCCATAATCTTGGACAGACCAAAGTCAGTGATTTTGATTTCTCCACAAGCCGTTCCATCTACCAAAAGGATATTTCCTAAAAGCAAAATAGATTATTTTTAGCAATGTGCACACCCGTACGTATACACTCCCGCGCACGCACACACACACAACCTTAAATATGAATGAAAGGATAATCTTTACAAGAGTAATGTTTGGTAAATAAACATATTATCTGAGGACTGGTTGTGTTGGTGCATGTCTTTAATCCCAGCACTCAGGACACAGAGGAAGGTGGAGCTCTATGAATTCATCCAACCCAGGTTACACACAGAAACCCTGTTAAAAAACGCAAACAAAAAAGCAAACACAACCCTGTAAGACACACTTCCTGAAATACCTGGCTTAAGGTCATAATGTATAATAGGAGGTTTGATCTCATTGAGATATCGTAGGGCATTCACTATCTGCATCACAATAGACCGAGCTTCTTTCTCAGACATCAACTTGTGCTGCTTCAGGTAGAAGTCCAAGTCATTGCCTTCACAGTACTCCAGCACTGTACAAAACCTATACCGGAAAGGGAACAATCAGCAGAAATAAATCTAGTGCCACACAAAACCTACACTGGGAAAGGGAGAAATCACTATCCAGTAACTGAGAATCCTAATCGAGAGATGACACAATCAGAAACAAAGTCAGGATTCTTAAAAGAGTTCCATCTTTGTTTACTTACGTATCTGTATCCAAGGAGAAGTAATCATAAAGTTTAACTATTCTGGGGTGATCTAGCTCCTTGTGGATTCGATACTCTCTGCAGGCATGTTTGTGGTAGTTTTCTTTTTTTTCATCTCTCCAGCTTTTATTAAGCTGGTGGATCTTCACAGCAGCGTATCTTTGTTCATACAAGTCAAAAGCCTACAATTCAAGGCAGAACACAATCACAGTGCACATCAACCAAACAGCTAAAGACACAAGTTTGGGTGATAATTTTTGTAACAACTAGGGATCATCTCTAAGACAGTTCAATGATACACTTAAAGAAATAAGGCAGAAATGTCATGGTGATGAAGCAGAAAAGTAAAAATAATGTCAACTTTCACATTCAAGTTCTTTAAATGCTAATATTTGGGATCATGATAAAACAATGAAGCTAAAATTCTTTCAAATATGAGCCCACTCCTTTACATGGGTAATCTTATAGGGAGCAACCAGAAACACAAACGTCTATGACATTTTCTGTGTGTTGTAGGAAAAAAGTATTTTTATCTCTCTTTTCTTAGAAACTAACTTAAATTCTTTTCTATTTTAAAGTTATGTTTACTTTATGTGTATGGTTGTTATGCCTCTATGTTATCTGTACCTGTGCATGTAGTTTCTGCAGAGGCCAGAAGACTGCATTGCATTGGGTCCTCTGGAATAGGAGTCACACATGGTTGTGAGCTGTCCATGGGGGTGCTGGGAATCTGAGCCAAATCCTCTGGAAGAACTGTCAGTGCTCTTGACTACTGAGCCATCTCTCCAGCCGCAATTAATAGACTTTTTTGGGGGGGGGGTTTTCGAGACAAGGTTTCTCTGTTTATTGTTTTGGAGGCTGTCCTGGAACTCGCTCTGTAGACCAGGCTGGCCTCAAACTCACAGAGATCCACCTGCCTCCTGAGTGCTGGGATTAAAGGCATGTGCCACCAATGCCCGCAATTAATAGATTCTTAATAATTCTAAAACTACTGAAAAAAAAAAACCTTTTGTTATGACACTGTTCAATCTATACTCAGAAGAGGTATAATGAATGTTTATGTAGCCACTATCTAGTTAAAACATTTATTATTTCATCTATTCCCTTTAGGATGAGACAGTATGTGAGTCTAAACCCATGGTGCTATGCGTGTTAAGTGAGTGTTCTAACATCAAACACCACCTCCAACCACCTGACTTATTTCACCCTATAATATTTTTTGAAGTCCTACTAATTCTTTAATATTTATCTTTCTAAAGCCATAAAACACACACACACCATCACACCTAACTGTATCAATAAGAATACCTAATCTGATCTAGTATACAATCTTCAATCAATTTTCCCAATTGCCTAAAAAAAAAATCCTCAAATCACTAGCCTATTTCATAAATAACAGGAATATTATTAGTACTTTAACTTTTGCGTAATTTATAAGTATTTTAAATCTTTTGCTATTTTATCTTAGGCAACCTCAATGTGATCTGAACTATAAATTTTTAACCTTACTATGTGTATACAAGTGCAGTTATCTTCAGAAGTCAGAGGCATTAGATAGATCAGCCTTGAACTGGAGTTACAGGCAGATGTGAACCTTCTTACAAGGGCACTTGAAACTGACTGAACTCAGGTCCCTTGGTAGAGCAGCACAGAACAGCACATGTCCTTATTGCGGAACCATCTCTCCAGCCCCATAAATGTTTTACATACCAAGTGATGCTAAAGAAAGCTGAACAGCTTAAGTTTCATTGTGACTTATATGAAAAGATGGCCTGTTAAAAAACACTTAGTAACTTGCATGTTTGTTAAAGGTCTCCTTACTAGCTTAAGCAGAGGGAAACACTTTGCTAGTCAGCGTCAGCTGACTGGCTAGCAAGCAGAGCCACCCCCGAGCATGTGGGCCTAGATTGTGTAAAAAAGGGTAAGCACATGCCAGAGGAACCAAGCCTGTAATCAGCATCCCTCCTTCCCTCTTGCTCCCAGCTCTGGCTTGAGTTTCTGTTTGGCTTCCCTCAATGTAGGACTGTAACCTGTAAGATGAAGTAACTGTCCCCTCCCCAAGCTGTTTTAGTCCATTGTGTATGTCACAGCAAGAAAGAGGCAGACTACAACAAGGAGTAAAGTGACTTTATGACAAAATTACAAAACTGTGAGATCAACAGAGCAGAGGAACAGAGCCTCTGACAACAGGGAGACTGTGTGCTAGTGAGTACCAGCACCTCATGGAGCTTCAGGCTTAGGTAAAGCTAAAATGGCTGAGAAGATGGAATGAGGACTATGTAGGTATAAAAGACAACAAATCCCACCATAAGCTCTTTTTAGGTAATGAGACTGATGATAAAGTCAATCTAAAGCCAGTACACAAAGGCCACATGGTTTTAACTATACCCCCTCCACCAGCATAAAGAACAGAGAACAGTACCTTATACACCTCACTAAAGCCACCTCTTCCAAGCAGATGAAGTAATAAATATCTTTCATTTAATGTTGGATGATCTTTGAACCTTAAAAAGGCAGGGAGAAAAAAAAAACATCTATTTTGGCACATTAAAAGAACACTAGGAGCTCTGTGTACTTAATTCCCACTCTTGACTTTGACTCCCAGCTCTGTCCTTGTCACTTACCTGCTGCCAATTTTGCATACTAGCCAGCAGCTGCTTCTATGCTCTCTTAATCTTTCCACATAGTATCACCTATGTTAGCTTCTGCACTTACAAAGTATAACTATAACAGCTAGCCTCTGACAGCACCATCAATTATGCTCTATAGGAAGTCCCTTATTCCTCATAAGCTACTTTTCTTGCAAAAAATGTAAATTTACATTGAGTCATGAATGATCAAGATTTTATAGTACTGACTTGTATTTAAAAATAATTGTATTTATCAACTGATCTTTGTTCCTGGTTATATCCTAGTGTCTTTGAACTACAGTTCATCTATTTTAAAAGCAAGAATTTTTCAAATGTTTAAAAATAAGAAAAAAATACTCTCAAGTAATACATACTACCATTACTAGCTAGTGTTTATTGTAGCTGATTTATTGTAAAGATTTATTGTTTACAGTGATCTGTCTGCATGTGTCCTTGCAGGCCAGAAGAGGGCACCAGATCTCATTACAGATGGTTGTGAGCCACCGTGTGGGTGCTAGAATTGAGCTCAGGTCTTCTGAAAAAGCAGGCAGTGCTCTTCCATCTCTTCAGTCCATAACTGCTGTATGTTGAGTAATACATGCTATCATTACTACCTAATGCTTATCATACCTGCTATATTAAGCAACTTACATAGTTCATTTATTTAGTTCTCAACCAATCCTATGAAACAAAGCCTCTCATGTCTGTGTACAGATAAGGGCTTGGCTGCTACATACAAAAGGATCAGACTGGGTAAACTGTACAGGTTAACAGTAATACATGGAAGGGCTTGGCAGAAAAATATAGTGTCCAAAATTTATACTCTGACAGCAATAGTTTTAAAATGCCAGATGTAAAAATACCACATTTGTGCAATTTTACTGAAAATAAGTTTGTAAAGTTTCTCCTGAAAACTGTAGAAAACAGATTTCTGCTTAGACTGCAGGTACATTGCAAAACTGTAACAATTTACTTTATCTTAAATTCTTAAACCAGAGCCACAAATACTGAACTTAATTTTCAAAGTAAGTTAATTTCAAATTAGTTTTTTTGTTTTGTTTTGTTGTTACGAGACAGGGTTTCTCTGCATTGTTTTGGGGCTGTCGGTCCAGCCCAGCCTCGAACTCACAGAGATCCGCCTGCCTCTGCCTCCCGAGTGCTGGGATTAAAGGCGTGTGCCACCACCGCCCAGCCAATTTCAAATTAGTTTTATCCCATTTGTTTTATTAAGACTTTAACCTGATGGAATTTAGGGTATTCTCTGTTATTTCATTTCTCTCACATGCTAAAGCAATCTGTGTTTATGAATTACACATCCAGAGATGATCACAAGGGCCCTTTCTAAGCAAGGCTTTTACATTTCACAAGAGAAAATTTATATAAAGTTACGAAGCTTTAAATTACACCACTAGCCTTAGAAATCAAGTGTCAACAGACACATTTCTCTTATATACACTAATAAATGAAGATCTAGTAGATACAGGTTATTTTTAATGCACCATCCAAGACACTCATTCTAATAATTAGATTTAAACCAGAGACTACAATTTGTAGTTCTTTCCCGTTTCTTCTTATATTTTATGATCTTAGATATATAACTTGTAATAATTTCTCCTTCATTCCTGTAACATTAATTTTGACATTCAGTCAAGAAATACCTATTAGATGCCTACCATGTCCCAAGTACTATCCTAGGTTTGACGATGCAGGAAGATCAAAACAATGATCTTACTCAAGAAGCTTACAGGTTAGGGGGAGGAGACAGATAATAAAACAAAACAAAAAGAACCAGACAGTGACAATGACCATGGTAAACTGAAGAAAAGGGTATGAAAGGGGAAGTGAGGGGAAGCAGCTGGTCAGGGCGTACTTGGGGTGAAAGAAAAAGAAAGCCCCTCGCATGTTCAGAAAGGGAGTGAGAGAGGTGGGGTGGGGACGTAGCGGGGGAGCAGAACACACAGACAGCCAAGCCAGTAGCACTGTGGAATGTTTCTATGTGCAGAGATGCTGACAAAGAAAATGTTTGTTTTCCATGGGAGAGGAAGAGGACTTGTGTCATGTACAACTGCAGTGACTTACTGTGAATTATCCTCATTGTTTATTCTCTTGAGCTCCCGTATGTGAAGATTCCTGACTCTTTCCAAACGCTCCAATTCTGCCTGGATTTCGGCCTCTTCCTGAAGATGAAGGGAGGAAGCTGTAACAAGCTCCATTTATTTGTGATATAAAAAGACATTTTACATGTGTCCATAGTCACAGCGATGAGACCGACAGTGTATTACAAAGTACCACCGAGTTAGAAGACCAGGGTGCGCTCTCGGTGCCTCAGAAACAAGAGCAGAGGCCTATTGTGGGTCTATCCTCTACCTCAAAGCTGCACCTAGGTGAAAACCCATCCTTTCTGTACTCTGAAGAATCTATTTTGATAATGTCTACACGGAGTGACTGCAAGGGAGTATGAAGCTGGCTTATCACACAGATGGGTTCCCAAATCTTAATTTAAGAGGAACAAATTTACTAGCACAAAGCAAATGAAAGGAAAAATGGAATAGTTAGTACCTTATAAAATTTAGAATACAAACACACTCAAACACAATCGTTAGATAAATCCTTGTAATCTTAAAAATGCATTCCAGCAAATTTATGACTAGCAATGGCAAGGCCAAGTCCGAAAGAAGCACTTCGAACACTCAGTATGATGACACACGCACTTCCTTGTCTTCATGTGTACTGGTGCTTTGTCTGTGAGGGGTAGAATCCCTTACGACTAGAATTGGAAACAGTCGGGAGTTGCCATGTAAGTGCTGGGAATTGAACCCAGATCTTTTGGGAGAGCAGCCTGTGTTCTTACCCTTTTAGCCCTCTCCCCAGCCTGCATTTTCATATCTTAAAATACAAATTTTTAAGGAAAATTCAAAGTAAGACAGTAAGGCAAATTAAGGAAGCATAGTCTCTCCCTCCTTCTCACACACATATGCCTTTGTCAATGTTACTTTAAGTACTATCTACAGATGGATACAAACATGTCAAATTGATGGAATTTTCTAGAAATGTCCAATTTTAAAAATATTTTGGGGCTGGAGAGATGGCTCAGTGGATAAGAGCATTGACTGCTCTTCCTGATGTCCTGGGTTAAATTCCCAGTACCCACATGGCAACTCACAACTGTCTGTGACTCCAAGATCTAACACCCTCACACACACATACATGCAGGCAAAACACCAATGCACATAAATTAAAAAGAATCAATTATTGTAAAAATGTTTTGAATAGGATTATTTACTGAGTAAATACATGCAGATTACAGTAATCTATTGTTTCTGTATTATAACTATTAATCTACTGTAGAAAATAGACGAGATATTATTTCTGAATACTATAGTTGAATATCCTCTATTCTATTGCTTCTTTACTTCTCTCTAGTTACTTCTTGTTTGACATTAACAGGAAGTGATGGTGCACCATATAATCCCAACATGTGGGAGACTAGAGTAATGAAGATTATAAATCTGAATGTAGTTTGAGATACTTAAGGGAAGGGGGAAAGATACAGACAGATGATTGACAGACAGACAGACAGACAGACAGACAGACAGACAGACAGTCAGTCAGTCAGTCAGTCAGTCAGTCAGAGATAAAGTATACCGAGCCTGTCAGAATAGCAACTGAAACACTTGTTGCAATTTTACTTGGAATTACTGCATGGGGATACAATTTCAGCATATACTTCCAGAAATTTAGACTTAACTATTGAATTACAAGATTCACCTTTGACTGATGAACAGAATAACACTTCGGGTATCTATATAATAGAGGTGAACTACATTTACACCTCCCATCTAGTAAGGTCTAGTAATTCTTAGACCTTACAAAGGGCATACTCTAGGGGGAATATAATTTTGCAACAGCAATTTCACTGAGAAAAAGTATGTTGTTATAGAATGAGTACTGAGGCCTTAATTCTTACTATGATATCATCTGGGTCTTTTGAGATATAATATGTCAGTGTTAGTAGTAAGTTATGAAGTTGGGGCTTTAAGACGAGATTAGTATGCTTATGAGATCTCTGTCACACTAAATATATACCCCCCAAACCATGTATAAACCAGGAAGATGGTCTTCTCTGAAACCAAACTCTGATAAATCCTGATCTAGAATCTGAAACAAAAATTTTTGTTGCTCAAGCCACCAATCTGTTATTTTGTTATGGCAGCACAAGCAAACATATACATTCTTTTAGGCCGATGGTTCTCAGCCCTCCTAATGCTGTGACCCTTTAATACAGTTCCTCATGTTGTGGTGACCCCCAACCATAAAATTATTTTTGTTACTACTTCATAACTGTAATTTTGCTACTGTTATGACTCAGAATGAAAAAGCCCGATATGCAATCCACAAGTTGTGAACAACTGCTTAAGCAAATGTTAGAGGGAATACTGTTCAGTAACCTCTCCTAACAGAAAAGGACATGGCCCAACTGGAACACGGCTCCAGGAGTAACAACTAAGCTCCCTTGCCTCAGCTGCTTTCCAAATGTCTGCTCTATAGGCTATGTTCTTATGGCTTAAGAATGACATTCAGGGCGGTGGTGGTGCATGCCTTTAATCCCAGCACTCGGGAGGCAGAGGCAGGCAGATCTCTGTGGGTTTGAGACCAGCCTGGTCTACAAGAGCTAGTTCCAGGACAGCCTCCAAAGCCACAGAGAAACCCTGTCTCGAAAAACAAAAAAGACATTCATCTTTTTCAGTGGGTTCAGAAGTGAGGAGGAGCTGAGTTCACAGCTAATCACCATAGAATGGTGTCTTCAGACTCACAGAAAAGTCAGGTTAAATTCATAAAATAAGAGAATCTAACCAAGTACTATGTTTCCCTGGGCATTATGGCACCACCTTTAGTCCTAGCACTCCAGAGGCAGAAACAGGCAGATCTGAGTTCAAGGCAAGCCTGGACTACAGAGCAAACTCTGGGCCAGCCAAGGCTGCACACTGAGACCCTATCTCAAAAATAAAAGTTCTAATTCTGGATTCAACCACTAGTTAGCCAGTTATTTAAAACAGAGACTCTGTAGGCAGTTACAGAGTAGAAGGAACATCAGTAAGAACAGATTGCATTAAAGAGCAGTGGGTTTGGTGATGAAACACAAAATAAAAGAGCAGCTCTTCTCTATTCAAGCCAAAAAAAAAAAAAAAATCAATCAACTAGCAATTTACTAATATATACTGCAATAGTTCACAGCACCTTAAAACAATGTTTACGGTGTGATATACATCACAAAAATCAATAGCAGATCTCAATACTGCCTCATTAGTTGACCTGCAAAAACACTACTTTCATATATATATATATTTGTTTCTCTGTGTAGCCTGGCTGTCCTGGAGCTCACTCTGTAGACCAGGCTGGCCTCAAACTCACAGAGATCAACCTGTCTCTGCCTGTCCAGTGTTGGGATTAAAGGTGTGTGCCTCTACCGTCTGGTATTTTCTAATATTTTTAACGGAAAATAAGTTTCATGACCACTTCAACAGAACACTTGTCACTTAACAGATCTTCAGCACAAAAAATGTATCTTATTCATAATTAGTCTCCTTTGGCAACATAATATTGCCTGGTTCATGAATTACATCATATCCACTCCACTGTCTTGCTCTCCAACTCCTATGTCCTTCCATTTCCTCTTGAATTCATGACCTCTTCTTTAAAACACACACACATACACATAAGAGAGTTATCAATTACTTCAAATTTATCCTTATTATGTAGATAGAGAAGATATGAGCCAATAGAAGTATGAACCAACAGGCAAACAATTATGAACGATATAGAACAGGCCTGACTCTGGAATTCATAGCTGTCTTCTTTTCTAATTTCATCGTTCTAGTTTCGTTTCCAATCAGGACATCTGCCATCACTGACGGGAACATACTCTGTCTTTCCTGAGGGTATTTAACTAGCTTAGGTATCTCCCCGTCCAGTCTCTGTTATTAATGTTTACTGATGTCCCCCTCTTCCCTTACTTCACTTTCTTCATTCCTGCCTAAGAGAGAACGGTGTGTGAGGGCGTGGGACATGTGTTTGTTTTAGTCTCTTCAAATGTACAAAAATACACACTGAAACTTCTAACTGGGCATGAATGCTAAACAAGACAGGCGTGTTCCTCTGCAAGCTTCTCCATTTTATATAAACAAAGCAAAACCCTGTCTAAGCAGCTGCAAATAAACATAAGAATTCCAGTGACTGGCAAATTTAAAATACAATATTGAATATTATTCTCCTATACTGCTGTATTACAGAGGAAATCCCTTGGCTATTAACCACAGTGCTGACATTGTCTAGAGGGCTCATGTGTGGCACAAAGGACAATAGAATGCAGCCCTTTCTTCCAGCTTTCCATCTCCTTTGAACCTATTTAGGTGGGTCACATACCCTTAAAAAAGTATAAAAATAATTAACTTTTTATTCAGGATGTGTGCACACATTTATAATTTTAACTGGAAATGGCCAGTGGCCAAGAAAGTGTTCTCCTTTGTGAAGCAGTGATTTCTAGATTAAACAACTCTGATCTAAGTGAGGGAACCTCAAGTTGCAATATTAAAACAGCAAAAAAAACCAACAACAACAACAACAACAAAAAACACCAGCAAAAATCTCTCTCTCTCTCTTCCCCCCATGTGCATGTGCGCGCGCGCGCGCGTGTGTGTGTGTGTGTGTGTGTGTGTAGATAGAGTGTCATATGACCCAAGCTAGCTTGGATTTCTGATCCTCCTTGGATACTATGTGTGCACTACCACCTCCAGACACTAGGGCTATAACCTTAATAATGCATGCTAGGCAAATACTTCCAAGTGAGTGCATCGCCAGCCCCACAGAAATGTTTAAATCCTACTGCTTAGACAAGTAAATTAATATTAAACACCAAAGAAAGAAAACGTTATCTCTAAATCTTCCTTTTGGTAAGTGTCTATCATCTACAACCAGATCAGGGGTCTGATTACAAGACCCAGAGTGTGTCAAGTCTCTGGTGAGGAGGAGATAGACCATAAACACAGACAGCTTCCATCTATAGTTAGCTAGTTGCATGCTCTCATTAGCCACCCTTCAAAATCTACTCATTTTTAAGTAGGAAAAAATAGTAAGGACAAAATGTCACCTGAAGAATGCGAATGTGGTTCTTAGCACCTTTCTTGCCCATACACAACCAGAAGCCTCCTGACATTTTTCCTGGGCTTAACTGTGACTTTTTCAAATACAATGCACTTTCTACCAATGTGCCCCTAAAAACTACTCCTACTCCTCAAAGAGTAGAACCCTGTGCCACAGCATACAGAAACATAATGTGTCTATGGATGGCCTTGAGTGAGAGAATTTTCAAAGACTTCTTTTAGTTATGGACACAAATACAGAAGTGAACATTCTAATATTATACTGCTCATTATCTTTACTCAAAACTAAAATGCAAAAAAAAGTCACATATGGAACTTATTTTTGTGGTCACACTAAGGATTTGATAACTTGGATGACATTAAGTGTTCTAAAAAGGCCAAAAGAGATACAAAGTCAGGAGTATGTGGAGTCAATTCACCTAAAAACACCCTGCATTCTCCACTGTTTGAAAAGCGTGCAGGCAACCCAGTTCTGTGCATTTCAACTGGCTGCACGTCCTTCTGTGAGCAGTGAGTGAGAAAGAGCTGTGAGCTTGCTCTCGGCCTGTAAAGAGTTCACCATGGTTAGTACTGCTGCTGCTGCTGCCTGTCACTGCTTGTTTCTCTCTGCAGGTGCCAGTATCGTCAGAGAAGGAACAGGATGTCAGTGGCAGAGTTGTTGCTACACTGTTATCTCTTCAGAACGAAGCACAAGGATGAATGCCATATCGCAAGGAGCAGAGGAGAAAGAGAGAAAGAAATGGTGTCAGGTGGCATGCTGGATGTGAGTCTGTTTCAGTAGAGACTGAGATGACGGTCGGTCAACACTTAGCTGACTGCCTCTGTGTCTGTGGATGGTTCTTCCCCAGCCCTATTTCAATTACAAGCTGGTCATGGCTCCCCAGTAAAACTTCTGGCACTTTAACCAGGTCTTATAACTTTGTCTCTCTGTCTCTCTCTCTCTCTCTCTCTCTCTCTCTCTCTCTCTCTCAATCCCCAACCCCTCCTTTACTGTTTAGTACCCGATACTAAGACATCAAGCTTTCTAGCATTCTCTTCTTCAAATAACCACATATTTAAAATATAAATCTGAAGAAAACAGTGGGTGTGCTAGTGCAGACCTTTAGTCCCAGCACATGGGAGACAGAGTTCCAGGCCAGTCAGGGTATATAGTGAGACCCTGTCTCAAAATACCCAACTACAGAAACTAGAGAAAGAGCAACTATATCCACCCACTGCTCACATTATAAACATATGGAAATAGTCATTGAAAAGGAGGCAGAGAAAACTAATTGGCTTGTTGCCCACCAACTGTGTTACTCATGTAAAGCCCATGCACTCAGAAAGCTAGAGCTAATGTTCACTTGAAAGAGTTATTACAATCTGAGCAACTCCCAGCACTCGGGAGGCAGAGGTGGGTAGATCTAAGTTTGAGGTCAGCCTAGTCTACATAGTGAGTTCACTACAGCCAGGGCTATATAGAGGCACATTGCCTAATCAAAGAATTATTGCAATTTGTCTTAAAAGAAGAAAAAGGGTCACATTGTATAATTCTGTTGACTGAGAATCATGCCTTTACAGACAGGCTAAAGAAATAAACCACTTATGAATGTGTGAGTAATGACCGCATAAACTCTTAACAACTCAATTCTTTTCTTTATAAATATTAAGTAATCTGTTTTTTTGTTTTTGTCTTTTGAGACAGGGTTTCTCTGTGTAACAGCCCTGGCTGTCCTGGAACTCTCTCTGCAGAAGAGGCTGACCTAGAACTCACAGAGATCTGCCTGCCCCTGCCTCCTGAGTGTGGGACTAAAGCCGTGCGCCACCACCACCACCCAGCTTAAATTACGCTCTTGTGCTTAGTGCTGTGGCTGGAATCCAGGCCTCCCTCGTATAGAGCAGGAGAGTGCTCTATATTTTGGTTTTTTTGTTGTTGTTGTTTTATTTTGGGAGGGGTGCGGCATATGGCTCTCACTGCTTGGTGAGACACCCAATATTTTGGGAATACAGGAACGTGCCACCATGCCTAGCTTAGGAATTCTTGATGTACCAAGAAATACTACAGTGCTCTTCCTACGCCTACAAGACAAGCCTAATACTAAGCTAAGCACTTAAATAAAGGTTACAATTACAATTTTGGAGGCAAATTTGATTCATTTAACTTTATTCCACATACTTTCGAAGGTGCCTGCTTGATTTTATCACACTTTAAAACTTTATTTTCTAAAACTACAGAGTAGCATAGATATAGAGCATTATGATTCATTTAATAGTAAACAAGCTTCTCTATATTATCTATCTCTTCAATTATCATTGGAATATAAGATGCACATGACTAGATCATGAACTACATAACAAATTATCCATTTTAAGCAGCAAATGGATCTTCTATTCTAAATTCTCATGGTGCTGAATTTAACAAAAAATACGCTTGCAATTTAGGGCTAGCAAGCCTAATATAATAATCCTACTTTATGTTAAGAATTTACTTCAGGGAGAGACAGGAAGAGACAAGGCCTGAAGGTGGAAGGGAAGAGGAGAGAGATCTTTGCTACTATAACATACCCAGCTTCACACCTGTGCCCTTACCTGACCTGCTAGTACACTCAGCAGGCTCCACGACATCAAGCACTCACAGATGAGAACAGACCCAGCCTATGGGAGAAACTACACCCTTGCAGCTGAGGTACGCCCTGCCAGCTACCAAACCCAGGAGCTTAGGAACTGGGAAGACAACATGTTCTCTTGAATCAAGTCTGTCCTTTTGTGTATTGAGTCTCAGTCTGTCTCTGTCTCTGTCTCTCTGTCTCTCTCTGAATGACCTACTTTCTAGCTGTGCTTTAGAAATGCATTGCTAGTACAACTTAAGTTCCTGCTTACTACTTTCCAATTGAACAACTAAAACATAAGTACCCAGTTGTGAGCAGCAGCTCCTATTTAGTCACTCTCTAGGGTGGTTACTCGCTCAGTCTTATCATCTCTCTGCACTGCCAACAACTGCCTTTAAAACACATTCATTCTTCTCACCCAAAACTGTCCCTAAGAAGAGAACAGTACGTATGTAAGACTCTCAGCACTGTGAACTGACACTTTTCCCCCAGAATATTTCATGGCGGAGAACAAAAAAAGAGTTGGGAACTAATCAGGTAGAAGATGTTAGAAACCTAAGCCTCACAGCAAATTTGATATATAAACTGGGAAAATACAGAGAAACTGATTATAGAGGACAGTTATTAGAAAAGAGTAAATATGAAACACATAGTATGTCAAACAGTGGGAAAAATGAAAGATGGGTGTAGGTCAAAAGATGAGCTATTCTATTAACAGTGTGGGCAAATGTTACCTAGTAATGAGATAGACGTAGATGTCACTGAATATTTTCAGAGTACCTTAAATTCAATCATCAACCAACAAAATAATAAACCCTTCTCTGAATGCTGTCAAAGCTGTATTTTTAAAAAGTACACAGATGAAGGCTGACTTTAACTGCTATAAAATTTTAGTTTTATCCAACAAAATAGATATAAGAATACTTTAAATTTGCTACCAAATGTGAGACTAGTGACCCCCAAACAAAGCTCTAAATACATCTTCAGTAGCACAACTAAGAATTCACTCAGCAATAGTGTAGCAATTAACATGCAGTCTCAGTAGCAATATAATTAAGGATTTCCTTGGCCATACAGTGCAAGCAATCAAACATACAGTATCCCTTTACTATCAAGCAATCAAACACACAGTATCCCTTTACTATCAAGGACTGGCCAGAAAACACGCTAAACTTTTCTGTGTTCAAACAAAAGCACTAAAACGATTGCGGAACTTTATTTATGCATGCATGCACCTCACATGCCACAGTGGCACAAGTGTGGAGGTCAAAGGACGGTGGCCAGAATCATTTTGCTTCTTCTATCACGTAGATCCTGGGTTGCCAGGCAGCAACAAGCACCTTTACCTGCTGAGCCATTTTACTTGCCCTTGGTGAATTTTTATATGGGGCATCAAACATCCCCTCTTAACAAAACAACTTAGGTGGACACACAAATACTTATGACTCATCTGTACTAAAAGATCCCTCCCACCTCACTGTTCATTAATAGCTGCGTTATTGCTACAGCTCTATTTACAGTTCCGTCCACTACAGACAAAAGACTGCTGTTAAATATACATCTCAAAGGCATGGGAAAACTGACCAATCACAACAGAACAGAAGGATGTTGGAGAAACAGAAGAGGGTAAATAAATTATTTTGGGATTCTCTGCTCAGGTAATTTAGGTTGATGCTTTCCGAGCAGTGGCACAGGCCAATGTGGCATGGTGATGGTCACTAGAGTTATCTGCAAGCTCTAACCAAGTAGCATTTGGGAAACATCTCAAACAGGTGTTAATATGTAGTTCACTAGCAGCTGCGTCTACCATATGGGGCCCTTGGTCCTATCCCACTCTGCTCATCAGAGATGACTCAAAGACATTTTCTTCACTTACTTTATTATACCTATACATCATTCTATCTTTTAAAAAATTAAATAACTGATAATCAGAAAGCAGAATAAAACAATGGCAAGAAGAAAATTTTGGGTCTGTTCATAACCTCATTTTGATAGAAAAACAATCTCTACTGGTATTTGGAAATGAGTTTCATCAAACTCGAACCTATAAAAACTAAGGAATGAATGACTAAAATTTCTAAGTAAGCACAAAATGATACAGTAACAACAACTTAACAACACAGCAAGCCATTTTCAATTGTATCACTTCACACTACATCCTTTAGGTTATAAAAAAATGTCCTCTTTATGTATTTTGATTAAAAAATTTAAACAAATAATAGTGAATAAATTAAGTCAAAGAAATGAACACAGTTCTCCACACTCTTGACAACAAGCCAGAGACCCAGCATGGGCTGCACATACCTTTTTGAGATGTCCTAGTCTAAGTTTGAAAATTTCCTCTTGTTCATGATATTCTGCCAGAGTCAGCCTGTCAAAAGTGAGATTTTAATTATACATTGAGGTTAATGCTTAGTACTTCTTAAAAATTAAAAACAAAACATGATGAAAAAGAAAAATCACAACAAAATACAAATGTCAAAATACTGACAACTTGAAGCTTAAAACTTAGAAGTCGTAAAAACCCCTTTAAGATACTCTTCAGTATACATTTAACATTTCTGAATGGCGTAATTAACTACTATGCAAGAGGTGTAAGCATAGTCCTACAACTGCAAAACCCTCACAACTGCATCACTTGTGAGGGCCTCAGCAAGGAGACCAAGAGTTCCAGAGCAGCTTGGACTAAAAGCTAGACCCTGACACAAAACTAAACAGTAGAAATGAACTGTTGCAAGGTGTATGCGGACGGAGTGAGGGAAGGAGGAGGAAAATGAGACTACAGGAAAACAAAGTGAGGAAAATAACATCGAATAGTTCCTGGGTTTGCAAATGTGCCACAGGTACAAACAAGTTTACCTACTAACACTGTTTTCTAATCTTAAAAAGTATGGCTTTATCAAAAAATGGCTCAGAATTATATCAAACTATATAAAAAATTTAAAGCTGGTTATATAAAGGAATACACAGATTTTTTTTCTTAAACCTGAATTATAAAATATAGCTAAAGTCTGGTATTTGGATCAAAGTTAAAGCTTGGCCTCTGTAGCAAGATCCCAACATGAGAAATTTCAAAGTTCCTATACATATTGCTGGAATTTCTTGAAGGGATGTGTATTATTGTCTTAAGTTTTCAGGCTTCTAATTTTCTTTATATTTTATGATTACAGCTGTTAAAAATAACAAAAGTTGCAAAAACTATCTCCAGAGGATTTTGCATATAGTGTTTGGGGTATTTACAGATGCCAATTTCATGGTTCCTATCCCAGGGACATGACTTATAACTATAACATAAGCCCCAACATTGCAAAAAAGAAGAGTAGCTTTTTAGATTTTCTGCTGTTCATTTGCATTAATGAAAAATGTTTTAAAGAAATCTATGGTGTAACTGGGCAGTGGTGGCACATGTCTTTAATCCCAGCACTCTATGAGGTCGAAGCCAACCTGGACTACAGAGCTAGATCCAGGACAGGCTCCAAAGCCACAGAGAAACCCTGTCTTGAAAAAACAAAAAGGAAATCTATGGTGCTGGAGAGATAGCTCAGTAATTGGGAGCATTTACTGTACTTCCAGAGGACCTGACTTCAGTTCCCAACATCATGGCAGGCAGTTCACAACTGCCTGTAGCTCTTCAGCACTGGGGTAGTCTGATGCTCTGACCTCTGCCAGCACCTACATACATACATGTGGTACACACACACACACACACACACACACACACACACACACACACACACACACACACACACACACACACAGCTGTATCTTCAAAAGAGAAGGAAATTTATGTATTTAGGTCAAAGAGACTGGTTAATCAGGATCTCATTCAAAATAACAGAGCTAAGCAGACAGTGTTAAAATCAGCAGCCTTAAATTACCAGGTATTTTGTAGTACATACTTTAACATGATTAAAAAAAAATTACCTTCTTAAGCAAGTCAATTTGTCATGTCACTTAGCAAATCTCATATGCATAAATGGAAACACATAGCTAATTTCTTCCCATATAAACTGCACCCATTATTAAAGTATTAATAATAGATAATAGGTAGATAGCTCCGGTTACCTATAAACACCAGCTTATCTACTTAGGAGCTTTGTGTTCAATTTCACTTTGAGTGTAAACAATTTAAACCTTGTAAGACTAACTTTTAATAGCCTTCCATAGTGAGTGATAATCTGTACTTGGTTTTGGCCCAGGTCTCACTGTACATCTTTGACAAGCCAGGATGGCCTCAGATTCAGAGACCCACTTGCCTCTGCCTCCCAAGTGCTGGGATTAAAAAGCACTTAACAATAGTTTAACATTGTTAGAGTTAGACAACAGAAATAACAAAAATTAGCAAATATTTAGTTTTAAAAGAAACTTATCATCCAATGTTTTAAAGACATTGTGTAAGCAGGAAAACCAACCTGAAGCCTCAAAACTATACAACCAAAGTTATAGTGTTGAGAGGAGCACAGCATAGCTCCTCCGATGATTACAATCCAGTAAATATTTACTGAATATTTTATCAGGAGCCATGCACTGACTAAAAAAAAAAGCTAGCATTTTTAAGATGACAGCATTGACAACATAGAATACTGAGGAAGTGAGATTAGTCTGTCTCTGAAAACCAAGTTAGGAACAGGAAAGAAACCTTCTTCCCTACGATCAGGGGCAGGACAGGACGCCCACTTTCACTACTACTACTCAGAACTATACCGCAAGTAATAAGAGCAGGAAAGAGTGACGAAATGTATTCTAACTGTACAGGAAGAACGAAGAGTATCTTCACAGACGACACAATTCTACAAGCTCAAAATAAAATCCCAAAGAAAAGCAAAAATAAATCCTGCAACGCGCTAAGATGTGAGACAACACGTAGAAATCGTTGTTTCTACATACTAAAAACAAACAGCCCATTTCAAAAGCATTCAACATGAGCCAATGAAAAGTTCTAGAAATAAATTTAAGCCAGTAGGTTAAAATTTTTTATGTAAGAACTATAAAATATTGCTACAGAATAAAAGGACCAGGTGTATATACAGCAGAGTTAAAGGACCAGGTGTCTATACAGCAGGGTAAAAGGACCAGGTGTCTATACAGCAGGGTAAAAGGACCAGGAGTCTATACAGCAGGGTAAAAGGACCAGGTGTCTATACAGCAGAGTTAAAGGACCAGGAGTCTATACAGCAGAGTTAGAAACCAAAACTTTAAAATAGCTACTGTTATTAAATATATAGCTCCTTACTTTAAAAAAAAATTTTTTTAAAAAACAAGCCATTGGACTAATTTTAGCAGAAAACTGGGAATAACTCGAAGAAATGATTCTGAGATGGATTTTGAAGAAGCTTAGCTTGGGTAGTCTGTACATGTAGTATCAGATTTTTAGAAACCTAAGGCAGGAGGACAGCTTGAGCCCTGAAATTCAAGACCAGCCTGGTAACATAGGGAGATAAAGACGAAAGCAAAGGACTCAACAAAAATGGAGCAGATGTGAGAAAAAGAGAAGCTGAAGATTAATGGATGAATAGCATGTAAGAAAATGGAATACAACTAGTACAGAGAACACAAGACATGGTCATTACATGTGTGGAGAGACAGAATAGAATTTCCACAAGACATCAAAGGGTATCTACATCTTTACCCACATAAATTTTTGTACAGCTCCCTAAATTTTATATAAACATGTAACTTTTTAAAGTATCACCATTGTCCTTTGAGTTGTAAAAAGTAATTGACACAGAAAATTAAAAAAACAAAACAGAAAAGAAACAACTATCTGTAGCTACCTGTGAGAAGGGTTCACAGGTCTGGAAAATAACGGCAGCATACTTAAAAGGCAATTGATTCGAACATTAGATTGTTATAGCCAACTGATTCCGATACACAGAAGAGCAGACCCCACTCTGTACTAAAAAAATCAGACTTTGAGCTTTATGTCAGATAAAATTTTTCAATTAACATTTTTTCTGGTGTAACTATTTTTGTTTTAGTAGTATTAATTATGAATAACTTCTCACTGCTAACAATTTTATTTAGAGAGAAATCTAAAACAGGCTTACAGTTGTGGTAAATTTGGCCTAACAAAGGGATCATTTTCTGCTCCGTTGACTGCCTTGTTTTTTCTTTGTTTTGGTTCAGAATTGGTAGCAGGTGCCTGAGAATTATTAGCTGTGGGAGGTTTGCGTTTGGCTAGAAGTTTCCTTTGCCGTTCAATATCTTCCCTTTGTTGATTCACCCATTCTTGTTGTCTGTGTAAAAATGAACAAACAAAGTCATATTAATCTCCCATTACTTTCAAATGAAAAAAAATACATCATAAGAAACAATCAATTTAAACCTGTATTCTTTTGGTCCCACTCTTTTTTTTTACAATTTTAAGTATTTACTTAGTTGTTTTATGTGTATAAGTAGTTTGCTCATTGAATTTTAGACAGGACCTCACCGCGGGGCCTTGAATGACTTGCCCTCTGCCTCTCGAGTGCTGCGATTAAAAGTGTACATCAACACAAACGAGGGTTGATGTATGTACACATATATGCACATGCATCACAAGTGTGCCTGGTGTCTGTAGAGGTCAGATGAGGGTAACAGCTCCCCTGAACTAGAGTTACAAAAGGTTGTGAGCCATTACCTGTATGCTAGAAACTAAACTCAAGCCCTTAAGTGCTCTGAAGAGCAGTCAAGGGCTCTTAACAACACAGACATCTCCAACCCCTTGCAGCCCACTCTGGTGAAGCAAAACAACCTACAGGTCTCACTTCACACAGTCTTTAAGATGTCCCTAAACCTCCCTGGAATGTCACATCATGTAACAACACACAGCAAGTCTTCAATCAATGCTTATCAGATACAGGGTATGCAAATGATTTTGTTTTCTGTGAAATGATTTTGTTTTCTATGAAAACATGTAACTACTGGCATTATATATATATTGGTTTTTTCGAGACAGGGTTTCTCTGTGTAACTTTGGAGCCTATCCTGGCACTTACTCTGTAGACCAGGCAGGCCTGGAAATCATAGAAATCTGCCTGCCTCTGCCTCCTGAGTGCTGGGATTAAAGGCATGCACCAGCAACGCCTGGCAGTATTTTATTTCTTAAATTATTTTTCCTTTATGTGTATTGGTGTTTTGCCCACATGTATGTCTGTATACCACATGTACCAGAGGCCTGCAGAGGCCAAAAGAAAACACTGGATGCCTTGGGACTGAAATTACAGATTGTGAACTGCCATGTAAGACTTGGGAATTAAACCTGGGTCCTCTGGGAGAGCATCCAGTGCTCTTCCACCGAACCATCTCTCCAGCCCCTAATACTGTAGACCATGAACATTACTGTAGGACAGTCAGGGCTGAGTTTAGTAGCAGAGATTCTTGCTCACAAAATATTAAAAGTTATGGTTTTCATCTCAAATCCATTTCCTGCTCTCTACTTTTACATTCAGAATTTAGCTCAAGCATAAACAGTCTATCTTAACTGTCAAAATTTTATCTTCCTCCTAATATTACTTTTATATTATCATCAAGCTACTCAATATCTCAATTCTGATCACATATACTACATATTAATCTTTAACTAGCTAATTAAACCCCAAACTCATTAGGTTTGGAGAGATTTTGTCTTTCATTGTGATAAGCTAATAGCTAGCACAGCTGTCGCCAACAAAAGTTAAATAAACCTATTGAGAGCTTTTTTTTTTTTTAAGGAAAATACACTGTACTCTTTAGATGAAAGCTACTTATGTTAACCTTCTGTTAAATAATGTAGCTGTCTTATGAATTCAAATAGTAAGGAGATGCTGAACATAATTCCAAATTTATAATTCTTTAAAGTAATGAAAATTCAAACCACTAAGTTTTAAAAATGCAGTAATGGGGCTGGAGAGGTGGTTCAGGGCTTAATTACATACATTACTCTTCCTAAGGACAAGAGTGCCAGTCCCAGGGTTCACATCAGGTGGCTCAAAGTCGCCCGTTACTTCAGCTCTGATGCCATTGCACTCATACACACATACACATAATTAAAAATAAATTTTAAAAAATGTAACCATTACTAACTTCACAAGATTTTGAAATGCAAAACCATCTGTCCACTGTTCAGTAAAAGAAGCGCCATGTCTAACTGTTGTAAAGTGCCCAAGGCGTAACCGGTCTTGCATACTCTTCTCTCTGCTTGACAATTTTTCTTGTGTACTCTGAAAATGAGGGGGGGAAATTAATTATATTCATTCAAATTATAAAAGCATGCAAGGCAAAACAATATACTAAGGGAAAGGAAAATTTAGTACTAACTCACCTTTTCAATAAGAAGTTTCTTGCTCATTGATATGCACTTATTTAATCGTTCTTTGTATTTTTCAAGTAATTTTTGTTGATCATCTATTTGCCGCCTGAGATCACAGTTGGCCTACAACATGGTAGAAAATGAAAGGTCTATAATCAGTGTACATGAAAATCTTAGTAATCGTTTTAGTGGTTTGAATAAATTATGTAGATAAGATAAATACTGAAGTCTATTTACTATTAAACATTAATTTAACCTTATAGAGAACATATAGAAAATTCATGTACACATTCTAGACATTCACATATATATTCCAAGGTATATAATTTTGGCTACATAATTTGAATCTGAGTTCAGTTCCCTTTTTTTTTTTTTTTCCTTTTTTCATGACAGGGTTTCTTTGTGTAGTCCTTGTTCTCTTGTAACTCACTCTGTTGGCCAGGCTGGACTCAAACTCAAGAAGATCTGCCTGCCTCTGCCTCCTGAGTGCTGGGACTAAAGCTGTGCACCACCACCACCACCCAGCCAGTTCCCTTATTTCTAAATGGAAGTAGTATAACCTCAGCTAAAAATAAAATGTGCTATATCACGTGTGTAACCCATTTAAGAGGGAATGTGAATTTCTTCTCTCACACCACATGATCTTTCACACCACTTTCTCTACTGAACAGGGACAATACTGTAATTTGTTGACCCAATTAACTACTTTGAGAGCTCCTTGAATAGGTACCTCACAGAGGAGGCCTCTCTCTAACTCACAGAGTGTGACTACCCCTGCCATCACAGGAAGAGAATTACTACTGTGTCATGCTCAGATAACCTGCACCCCCCCAAATTTTCTAAATCACCAGGTCTGGAGGAGAGCCTGGGAATTATACTTTCTCCAGTCATGCTGCTGCTCCTACTCCTGGGTACCAAGAGCCACAGGTCTAGGCCAATCACACAGAAACCAAGAGACTAAAGTATAGTACTTTCAAATACTGGGAGAAAATAATTGTCAACTTAAAGCTACATGCTCAATAAAACTGTATATCAAAGGCAGCAAAATGAGATCTAGCACAAACAGATCTTCACTGTTAAAACAGTTCAAACAAAGCCTCAACATGGTTTGAGAGTCAGCAGGAATGTTTAACTTGAACTTGCCTCAAAATTTCATTAAGGTTGCAGACAGCCAAAATGAAGGGAAGGGTATTTGTTTAATGGCACATCTAGGGTTTTCTGTATATATCCAAGTTGTGTGGCTGTCTGAGAGTCTTTCACTATAAGTGTAGCTCAGACTAGCTTTAAACTTAAGATCCTGCTGCCCTCAGAGAGCTGGGTTATGGGCAAAAACCATGTGTAGTGTTTAATCAAGATTTAATATAAAGCCATAGTAATTATAATCACTCTAATCTTCTTCTTGCATAATAGTGGAAATAAAATGTTTTATTCTGGACAGATATGTACCTAGCTAAAGGAATACAATTCTTAACTTGTCTTACAAAGAAATTTAAGTAGATTCAGTAGAATATTCAAGAAAGCTGCGCATAGAACTGTGCTTTTTCTCTTCTCGCCTACTCTCTGGAGTCTGTTTAGAATACAGGTACTGTGACTTTGACTATTTTAATTTAGACCCAGAGGTGACCTTCAAGATGTAAACCATGCACTGAAGACTTCAAGAAGCAAACTGCTGAAGGAGCCAAGTTCTCATGAAACCGTGAGGCAATTATATCTAAGTGGCTAACACTTGTGTTCTTTCTAAAAGCACATTTCTATCTCATGTAAAGTACCGCTGTGTATATTGTGTTACTAACAAAGACAACTACTAAACACTAATATAGTGTCTCAGGATTGATTTAGTAATACACAAAACAAAACAAAGGGACACAGGACAGAAGGAGGGGCATTGCATTTAGAAATAAGATTTAATGGTGGAGCCTGGATAGCCTGGTTATCAATATAGGAAAAAATCAAAATGAAACCCTATTTCACACTATACCACAAGCCAATTCTAGCAAGATCAACAAATTGTACCAAAAGATCAATTTCTTTACTCTTAAAAATTTTTGAGAATATAATTACATTTCTCCCTCCCCCCTCCCCCCCCCCGCTTTCTTTCTTTCGAGACAGGGTTTCTCTGTGGCTTTGGAGGCTGTCCTGGAACTAGCTCTTGCAGACCAGGCTGGTCTCGAACCCACAGAGATCTGCCTGCCTCTGCATCCCGAGTAATGGGATTAAAGATGTGTGACACCACCACCCAGCTATGGCCTCATTTTTCATTGGAGAACATCTTTAGGCTCTTATAATTACTTCTTTTAGTATCTTTGATAATAATTTAGTATACATAAAGTAAAAGCTATAGACCTAAGATATTTAGTAATGTAAAAACATATAATTATCAAAAGACAACATGATGTACAAAAGACAGCATGATGTAATGAAAACACATCTCACAAAGTGGAAGAAGTCAGCATACAAAAAATGAAAAACTGAAAACAAAGAAAGGTCCTGGGTTTGATCTCCAACACAACACCCCCCCCTCCATACATACACACACGATGGCATTCATCTCTAATCGTAGCACTTGGGATGTAGAGCCAAAAGATACCAGAAATTCAAGGCCAGCCTGAGCTAAGCCATGATGAGACTCCGTGTCTCAACTTATTTCACAGAAAACAAGACAGCTAACTAATAAGTATTTTAGAAGATGTTTTAAAAATGATGCTGAAAACCAATCAGTAAACAGATGTGTAAGAAAAGTACAAGATACCATGTTACACCTATTCATCAGTGCCATCGGGAAGAACAGTGTTTTAAATCTTATAGCACTAAGATTTGGCACAGACAATGAGCAACAGTTCTGTTATGTTAACAGAATAACTTAGGGGGAAATTTGGGTATTATAATGTACAAGATGTACATGCTCTGTGCTCTCTTTTATTGCCTTATTTCCTATGCTTACAACACAGGAAAATCTTGCATTTACCTGAGGAGACATGTATTGAGAATTTTTTAGCAGAATTCTTTGTATTAGAAAAATCAGAAACAAAACACCAGCCAAAATTGGAAGAATCATGTAAATTATGGTACATTCTTTAGGGTCTTAGTGTAGACACAGGAAGGAACAAACCACGGTGTTAGGGTTTAAATCTATAAACCACCCCTCCAAAGGCTCACATGTTAAATAAGGAATAGCTGACAGACAGCTGATGAGGCCTTGAGAGGTGACTGGATCAAGAGAGCTTTTATTTCAACAGAGGATTAACCAATAAACTGACTCTAATACTGGGTCCTGGCAGAGGAAGGACATCCCTGGGAGGAGGGCTGAAGTTGAAATGCATGGATTCCATCTGACTCTCATTGTTTCTCTGCTCCCTGGCTACCATGAAGTAAGCAGCATTGCTCTTACAGGTACATCCTGCTTTTTGCCCTAGTCCTTCCATCACGACGTTCCTGTCTTACTATAGGTCCAGAAAAAACAAAGCCAAGAGACAACAAATTAAAATTTGTGAAAACTGTGAACCAAAATAAATCTTCCTTTAAGTTGATGTAACCAGGTACTCTGCCACAGCAATGAAAAGTAACTTATCTAGTTACACTTATCAATGTAGGTGTGAATGAACACATGTAATGTTCATAAAAACAAGCAAAGGATCCATAGAGGATAATTTAAACAAATAATAAAGTGTTAAAAAAGAATGTATACACAGTGGCTGGAAAGATGGCTCAATCTGTAAAGTGCTTGCAAGTCCAAAGAACTGAGTTTGACCCCCCAGAAGCCATGGGATGGGCTCGTAATCAATCCCAGTACTGGAGAGGAGAGACAGGAGGATTCCTAGGGTTCAGTCTACTCTAATTGGTAAGCTTAAAGCAAATGAGAGTACCAGCCTCAAAGGATGGGGACACACACAGATATATACACGCATATAGCACAACTATAGAGAAATACAAGGGAAGGAAAAACACATGCATCGTTAATGCCAGAAGAGTGGTCAGCAGCGAGGGATGTGACACAGCAATGTCCCAGAGGTACAAAGGCACCACACATACTGGTTTTATTAAGTTTTGATGCCACTGGTTCTCAGTGCTGCTTTAAAATTTTTTAAATTATCAACATCCATGCTACATCACATCAATTTAATCAGAGTTCCATAAGGTAGACTCCAAAATTAGTACTTCCATCTGGTGATCCTAACGAGTGGCAAGGGACAAAAAAATTTCTGCTTTATGCCTCACTCAGATTTTAAGTATACTTTTGGGTGCATTTTTAAATTTTATTGTATGCATGAATGTGTGTCTATGGGTGTGAATGAACATGCCAAGGTGTTTGTGTACAATTTACAACTCATAGTCAATTCTCTCCTTCGACCTTTATGTAGGTTCTGGGGACCCAACTTAGATCTCCAGGCTTACACAGCAAGTACCCTTATCTGCTATGCCACTTGCCAAACAGCTTAGATTTATTTATTGATTTACATACTTGGTAGTTTTATTTTATGTGTATTAGAATGTCTTGCCTGCACGCATTTCTGTGCACCACATGCATGAAGTGCCCGAGGAGGCCATAGGAGTACGTCAAATCCCCTGGAACTGACGTTAGAGAGGGCTGTGAGCCACCATGTGGGTTCTGGGAACCCAAACCAGGACTTTGTGCAAGAGCAGCAAGTGTTCTTATCCACTGAGCTATTTCACCAGTGTCTGAATTTATTTTTAAAAATATGGTTTCCATTAAAAATCTCAGAGGACTATGGTAGCAGTGCCACCCTCAGTGGTATCGGATGTCAGGCAGATAGCAATAAACTACCTATCAGTAAATAGGTATCTGACTGGTAGGTATATGATCAAATAAAAAAAATTATAAACCTACAACCCCCCACCCCACACTGGCAACACAGTTTTTCTGTGTAATCTTAGTTGTGGCCTTGAGCTCACAAAAGATCTACCTGCTTCTGCCTCCCAAGTGCTGGGATTAAAGACGTGTGCTACTACCCAGCAAAGGTGGGCATTTTCTACATTTTCTTAAATCTTACTTAGGAGTTTGTGTCTCTGTATACAGGTGTGTAGGTGCTTACAGAAGCTAACAGCTGAGCCATCTCTCTAGCCCCTAAAGTAGACTTTCAATCATATACTTATAGTACTAGAAAAAGCTTACTGTTTTAAAATACAGAACACTTTGCTATATTTAGTATTTTCTCAATAGTTTAAGTGTTACCAAAATAAGTCACATAATTTCCCCTCCATGACATATTACTTACCCTGAGCAAATCATCTATTCGACCTTCCTTCTTTTCCAGGTCCTGATTCTTATTACTTTCTAATGCTGCCAATTTCAGCATTGTAAGATCAGTCTAAATGAAAGAAAGCTACTTTATTATCTCTATTATATACACTATTACACACAAATGTGAAGGAAGAGTTTTCCAACTTCAAACAGCAAGGACAGACAGCCTGTAATATGTAAACAGACACCTTGATGAAGTTTTAAGCTTGAACAACTTCTAAAGTATAAATTCTGAGAACCTTGTGTACAATTGACTAAAGCTCATACAAAAATGCTTTGTACTATATACATCTGCTCTATACAAAGATCTACAGGATCTTTTGTGAAATCAGTTTTTAAACTGCTTATAACTGACAAGTAAAAACTGCCTGTATTTATATGGTAGATATGTTTTGATCAGGCTGGCCTTGAACTCACAGAGATCTGCCTCAAGTGCTGGGATTAGCAGCATGAAATACGACACACAGCTCAAATAAAGTTTTGTTACATGCAAAATAGTTTGCATATAACTCAGGAAGTCTAATAAATATACTGTTGTGGAGCCAAGGTACCCAACTGACAGACTGACTCCTCAATTTCAAGTCTGAAAAGGTATTACCCAGAAACTGATACACATGAAAAATAAACAAACAAACAAACAAACAAACAGACAGACAGACAGACAGACAGTATGGGCTAGGTGTAGTTTAGTGGTAGAGCATCTACTTTTTACATGCACAGAGCCCCAAATTCAATCCTCAGCACCAAAAAGCAAAGCAAAATCAAATAACCCCTCCAAAATGTGTGATCTGTATTCAAATTTCATGAAACTGGATGTTAATGATAATAATAATATTAATATAATCCAAGTACTTTGACGTAAGTGATTTTTCTAAGTGGTATAAACATATAGACACTGAAATGAACTTGTATCATGCACTTGAAATCAACACAGCAGCATCATGAAGAAATCTACTGTGTGTGTATACTTGGATATTAAGTTCAAAACCATTCAGTGAGTAAGACCGACATGTGGTGACTGCCCTAGCTCTTTTACTGCTTGAGTGCATATCAAAGGACAAGCTGGCTCTACGAGGGATGTATCAGCTCCTTCTGCCCTGCAAGCATTTCAGTCAGTAAGTTAGCTCCTGTGTTTAATTTTACTTTACAATTATATCCAGAACAAACTATAAACATTTCCTAAAAGTCATAGCAAAAATTTAAAGCTATTACTTACCTGAGTGATCTTAAAGGATAACTGCTTTGGTTGTATAACAGGGTGGTCCCCAAAAGCTAATGCAGTAGGAGAAGGACTATTCGGCCGAACCTGGAAAATTTGGTAAAATTTCTACCTTAGGTAAAAAAAAATTTCTCTTCATCAATAATTTACTAACATTTCTAAAGAAGATTTTTATCTTGTAATATCATTCAAAAACTTTTCATCATCATTTGTTTATCCAACAAGCATTCTTGGGTACCTCCTGTACAAGGCCCTGTGTGAACAACCATATATTCCTTTACCAAAAGGGACTTACACTCAAAATCCATAAAACCTTAATGCTTTATAAACAAAGCATGACCAAATCATTCTGAAACAAAATATTAAACAGATTATCCTGATGAAAAGAAATCACTGAGCATGGTAGCACAGGTCTTTAATCCCAGTACTTAGGAGGCAGAAGCAGGTAACTCTCTGTAAGTTCCAGTCTTGGCATGGCTTAAACAAACAAACAAACAAACAAAAAAGAAACAGAGAAGGAGGGAGTGAGCATGAAAGTCTGAATACAGACTTTCTTAGTACTAGAATAATAATGCACGGTCATAAGTACTCTGAAATCACATCTATTTATGAGTTTTAGAGTTTATGTAGTCATCAGTTTAAGACTGAAAGCAGTGGATGGCAACACTGTGTCAACACTATCATCTCAGCTTTCAAAAATCCAGTCTTCAGCCTTCCTTTGCAAATGGAAATGTATGGCACCCCAGTGAACAAAATGGGTAAGACACAGCTAAATGTGTCTACAGGCAAGGAGTAGAAGAGGATACAGCAAATAATGAAAGGGTGTTTGAAGTAAGAGAGTCTGGTTGATACCGATTTATAATTCATCTTCAAATTACTGAAAGCCAACTTCATTATTCTGCTAAAATAACTTCCAAGGAAATGAAAACTAAAATCTAAGATAAACAGTGCACATAAAAATTTTGTCTTGAAATGTTATAAACAAATTTAAAGCTACAAGCTAATTTTAACATCTTTTTCCTATGCTGAACTAAACAGGGTTTGTCTTAAGAATTCCCCTAAATAATGCATGGTTATTTTTATGTTAAGAAATTTTATCAGTAATAAAGTTAAAAATCAGAAATTAATAACTGAATACAGAGAGAGATGCTATAGCACTTACCTTAGCCCCCACAGGTTCTACAGAATTTTTTCTTAATAAATTAACACTACTGGATACATATAGTCAACTCAGGAAAGTTTCACCTTAAGAAACTCATTTTTTCTCTAGTAGCCAAGCATAGCTTCCAACTTTCTCTGTGGCAGATGATGCTGAATTCTTGTTTATAAAATTATATTTATTTACTTTTTATTTTATGTGTATGGGTCTTTTGCCTGTATGTATGTCTGTGTACCACATGTGGGCCTGGTGCCTGTGGAGACCTGAACGTGTTTCAGATTCCACGGAACTGGAGTTACATGTTTGTAAGTGCTAGGACTCGATCCTGGGTCTTGAGGAAGAGCAGCCAGAATGCTCTCTACCACTGAGCTGTCTCTCCAGTCCCAATCTTGAATTCCTGATCCTCCTACTTCCAATTCTTTTAAGTGCTGGGATTATAAGCATGCAACACAATGCCTGGCTAAGAAACTCACTTTCAAAAATAAAAAGTTCAAGAAGAATCAGATCATTAAAGAGGATTCAACTCCTGTTGAAGTGATTTCCCTTTTAAAACATTAAATGTGACTACATAAACGTTAACAACAGAAACACTACATTCTAAGTTATTCAATACATATATGTATATATACCCTCTAAAACAAAGACAACGAACAAAGCATCTTGAATAGTAAAAACTTACAGATGAGGAAGGAGTGGAATGTGAGTGTGAGTTTTGCGGAGAACGGATTGCAGGAGGTATGCCTCTTACTGGACTTGAGCCATTTCCACCCTGATACTGAGAAAACGAAATAGAAAAGCATAGTTGCTATTTTAGACTTCTCACTAAGGAATTAATTCAAATATACCTTCATTTATTTGTGGTGCAGGGGAATAAACCCAGGGCCTCATGCTTTGCTTCAGATAAAATCAAAGTCATTTAAATGGGTTCAGAAACAGCAAGAGCAAGGTAAGCTATGTAAAGCCCAACTACACCACATAACAATGCCTACGACTTTATCTTCTGACAATAATTTGTTATTGTGGTCCACTCAAAGACAAATAGCCTCCAAAATGAACATATCTGTTTGTTTCCTCCAAAGCTTAGCAACTTTCCTATACATTTTTCTTTAAAGGAAACCAGTTAAGTCCCTAACCCCAAGAAATTTTAAAATATTTACATATGATTTTAATGAACAACACAACTATCTCAGAATCATTGTTCACAAGATCTGTTAAGACATCCAAATATTTACTGCAGTATATAAAATAATTATATAGGACAAATCCTTTCCTTCTAACAACAAATCCCATTCTTTCTTATGGAGTTTATGCCTTCACTGCATAGAGGTCAAGAATATGCTCTACAGTGCTTTCCTCCTAGTTCGTTTCTGTACCAAGACCAGAAGAAAATATTTCATTTGTGCTTGGTTCCTCTTAGTAGTTTATTGTCTGCTTTATCTTTTATTATTGTTATTATTATTATTATCATTATTACTTTGTTTTTCAAGGTAAGGTTTCTCTGTGAGACAGTCCTGGCTTGTCGTGAAATTCACTCTGTAGACCAGGCTGGCCTTGAATTCACAAAGACGTTCCTGCCTGATATTAAAGGAATATGCCACCACCACCCAGCCATCTTTCACTTATTTTTAACTTAAGTTTGATATGAATGGAAGAAATGGGAACTGGCCAGTGTGTTTACTAAACAACTTTCTACAACCCAAGAATTTTTCTTCATTCATTTTATTTAGTGCCGGGGTCCAGCCTCCACTCAGGTTCAGGTCCTTAGACAGGGAACGGACGTCAGTGCAAGGAAAATTTCTAACCACCAGATGGGCTGCACTCAAGTGGCCTATAATAGCTCAAGCCATCTTTATTTATACTTAAACAGATTTTTTTTCTACAAGGGTTACATGAACAGCTTTATTATTGGCTCCTATTTTTTGTCTTTTAAGAAATACATAATAATCAATTTAAAAGCACCCATTGGGCCGGGTGGTGGTGGCGCACGCCTTTAATCCCAGCACTCAGGAGGCAGAGGCAGGTGGATCTCTGTGAGTTCGAGGCCAGGCTGGACCGACAGCCTCCAAAACAACACAGAGAAACCCTGTCTCGTAAAACCAAAAGCACCCATTGTTCCCCTTTATGCTTCCCCAAACCCTACATAACCTTATTCTAGACAGAGTTCAGCATCTTTGCAGGCTTAACTAACTATCAAGTCAGACACATTTTGCTCTTGCAGAACTTATATCAGCTGGCAGCTACTTGTGGTTATTAAGTAGTAGAAATGGGCATAATGCTTTAAAGACAACAATGTTCAAACCTAGACAATTATTTCATGTCTGCAAGACACGCTTTTCTACGTGAGGGCCCCACGCTCTCAATCTCTCTGTAAAAGGCAGACTTTGATAAGGCACTCTTTCCCTATCTCACTATACCATACTTCTTCCACCAACATAAAACTCCTATGTATGGCAAAGACGGATCTCTCCATCCCATATTTTATATTGCATTATTCCCATCAGAATATACTACATCTTATTATTGATTTGTTATAGTTGGTGCCCAAGGAACTTACTCAATAGTTGGCACTATGTGCATTCCTGAGGCCTTTTCCTATTCTGTATATGCATGCCTTACTCTCCTTTCCAGAACTGTGAGACATGGTTAGTATTCCAAGTGTGGTTTTCTCATACATACCTAATTGTCTCTATTGAGTCAGAAAAGTTCCCAGGATTAGGAGTTGTACTTAGTAATTCCAGATAAATGATTTCAAAGGCATTAATTAGCTCACTGCTGAAATTTAGGAGAAAATATTCCAGAAAGACCAGAATTTCCAGGGAAAGTTACAGCTATTGCATATGTGACTGACAAAATAAAACTAAAAACCGCCCAAAAAAAATCACCAATAAGAGAGAAAAGAGTCTACAAGTTGTACAAATTTTGCAAATTCCTACACTGTCCCATGAACTACTGGTCCCTGCCAAGTGAGAGTCCATTTTCACGGGTGGCTTAAGCCCCAAAGAAAGCAAATGGACAGCTAGGATGCTGATCTGTGACTAGGCTGCAAGGCTCCAGACAATGTAGTGCTTAGCATATCACCCAGTACATAGCAGACATTCCAGGGATGAGCACAAGTTCTTAATGATATTGACCATAAGTGGCTCAAGTCAATTAAAGGGAAGGGCAGTGGATAATTTGGGATTAGAAACAGTTTTACATTGGATTCTGCAACTCCCAAAAAGCATCCTCTCCCCTAGCAAAAAAAGAAAGTTTTGGAGGTTTTTTTTTAATGCTCTTAACTGTTGTCCTTATCGGCCAATCCCGCTCTCACACTCAAGTGAAGACATCTTTGTCTACTGAAGAAGTAACATTTGTTGTTTTAACAAGCAAATCAACATATTCAAATAGAAACTGGAAACCAAAAGTATGTAGAAGCAAGACAACAGTCTAGAGTAAAAAGGACTAAAAGCATGACTGTTTTTCTCAGGGTTCCTTTAGCATCTCTACCGATTATTCCATCTCAGTGTTGGGTTAGAGGACAAGGCCCACGTTGATATGAAATGGTAAGATTGCAGGTCTACTCTGTTAATCCAATTCAGTCTGCCAGACAGGGAGCTACTTTGCTCCTACAAACAGAACACTAACAGCTAACATTACCTATACTATGGGTCTCTTAAGCAAGAATGTGAAGGAAAGAAATACTACCAATACTAACATCTTTTCAAAAGCTGACTTTGTGCTTCAAAGAAATGATTTTCAGCTTGTAGAAGAACTATACCGAATAGGAACTGGAAGTAATCCTCAACAAACTTACTTCAAAATAGTCACTAATCTTGTGGCCACGTCCTCCAATACTTTTTCCTAAAAAAAAAAAAAGTATAAATTTAAAAGCCAGTCATAATTATCTGCCATTTATTACATTAAAAAGAGAAAAGTGACAAATTAAAACACATTTATTTAATTTAAAAGTGTGTGACATTTTAGTAAGGTGATGATAAGTATTAAAAACAATAATCTTTAAACATAAGATTAATCAAATCACATTAATAGATACATGTCAATTTATGGAAGTCTCAATTACTGAAAAATAGATAAATAATATTAAGGATCTCCTGTTTCCTTTTCACCCAACCTCTTCCCTCCTTTTGTCCTCCCCCATGACTAGGAATTAGACCCAAGGCTTCAGATATGCTAAGCATATGCTACCACTGAGCCATATGGCCACACCCTCAGCAAAGGGAACTTGGCCTTTAAAACCTTATTAATATTTCTTAATATCTATTAATCTCAGAAAACTAACAAACTGAAAAGGCAAGGGGCAACTTTATATCTGACAAACTGACACCAAATCTGATGATGACGAGCTTTGGTTGATACAAACCCAAATCTAATAATGTTGGCAGACAACAACATACTTATCATCAGTGCTTCTCTGCAAAATTTTTTTATTTTCCTTTTCTTCAGTTTTCTTTTTTGAGTTAGAGTCTTACTACATTTTCCAAAATGCATTTGATGAAACTTAACAGGATATATGTTTAAAAGTCTACAGTTTAATAACTGTTCTTGTGACCATATTGATAAGAAGAGTTGTCACAGGTCACACTGTTCCTTAAATACTCTGCCCTAAAATGCAGTCTCCATTAGTTTTAAACAATTCATTATTAAGAAAGGTAGTATTCATTTATTCTCATTTTCTCTCTCTCTCTGTCTCTGTCTCTCTCTCTCTCTCTCTCTCTCTCTCTCTCTGTATGTGTTTTAGGAGGCACTCGTTCTTGAATTTTAATTGTGGAGAATACATGATTTCTTCAAGTAGTAAATAGGAAATTTAAGGATATCAGTAAAAAGCTTTGCATTATATAAGTATGTAAGTAACATAGATTCAATTCTGACTTACTATCGTGTGTTCATTTAGTTTCCTCAAATGTTTTGGCTTTTTATTACTTACTTGATATGTGTTTATGCACAGCATGTGTGCCCACCTGCACATTTGCCACTTGATAGCTTAGAGGACAACTTGTGGGAATCAGTTCTCTCCTTCTACCATATGGGTTCTAGGAATGAAACTCGGTCATGTTTGGAGGCAAATGTCGTAACCCACTGATCTATCTTACCAGCATAACAAGTATATCTTGAGTGCCAGGCATTGTGAACAAACTCTATACTTAAGTCCAACACCATTAAACAAAATTGAGATTATTTTTTTAATTAAATAAGGACTTGTGACAACAACTGCTATTCAGGAATTTTGATCAACAGTTTCATACAATGTATTTACCAGTCAGACTGAATTGCAGGGTTTTCCCATGGGATGTTTTTCCTGTCTGATAACTAACACTCCTGAGGAAGGGATGTTTTGAGTTGCCTAACTAGGAGCTATTTCCCTAATTCTTTTCCTCTATTTGAACCCAAGTGTTTGTTATACTCTTCCCCACATATATGGCTCTGAACCTCAAGAGGAGCCTGCTCCTACACCGTCCCACTCTCATTTCCTCTCTTCCTCATTTAAGTCTAACTTTAATCAGGACCATTCCCCCAAAGTCTGTCATGATTAAGGAGAAAAGCTACCCCACTACCAGCTTCAAACAAGGGCCTGGTTTCCTAAAAGCAGTAGTACTTCTATATATTACTGGTACAGAATGGAAACATTACTTAAACTAGGCATGAGGTGACAAGGGAGGTTTGCTTCTGGGCTTGAAGCTCACGTCAAGAAAAGTTGGGGTGGGAAACACAGTAAGCTAGTGTCATTCTAAAGCAAACAAACGTTCAGTGAAGAAGAGATGAGGAGGTCCAATTAGGCAACCATCTTCATCCATAGGACCAGGCATTTCTGTAGACTGCAGGCTAGACAGATAAAAGGCTCAGGTTCTTGTTTTATTGAATTTACTCAGTGTCTAGGAGTACTAAGGGTGGCAGACACAGTATACATGTGGAGGTTAGAGGTCAATTTGCAAGACTTAGTTCTCTTGTTCTCCCATGTAAGTACCAAGGATTGAACTCAAGTTGTCAGGTTTGGTGGCAGGTGCCTTTAACTACTGACCCACCACATTGGCCCTTAAAACAAGTTAGCTAAACCAATTTGGAAGCCCCACCCTATTTGGGGGTTTCATTTTAAGATCATGTGAGTATCTTACTGAAATGAGTTAATGTACCTTTATAATGAAGTTACATATCCACTAGCTACAGGTTAAAGGGACTACTCCCAAGAAAAAAAAGGAAGCAAGTGCAAAATGAGATTGAATATACTACACATTTTAAAAAGGCCATAGACAAAGCCCTTTCGTTTCCCAGACAACTACTGCAAATACACCCTTTGATTCCAGTGCTATATAAAAATGATAACACAATTCATAAGCCCAGATCTTATGGATAAAAGCTGGTTCCAATACATGTAACTTTACATAAAATCATTATATATTATATTGTATATCTTTTCAGGGTCCAAATTAAATAGTAGTACCAGTTTGCTATCTGTTGGAAGAAATTATGCTGTCTGGGCTGGAGTGCTGGTTTACTGGTTAAACATGCTAACTGTGTATGGTCATTTGGATTATTGTTCAGGCCCCAGAACTGACAGATTCTAGTACTCACATAACAAGGCAGGCATCTTACATACACCTGTAACTCCCACTACAAGCAGGGTGAGAACAGGAGCATTACTGGAGCTTGCTGGCTTCCAGCCCAAGCAAGAAAAATGAGCCGTAGGTTCGAGGAGAGACCCTATCTCAAAAGAATAGGCAGCAAATGATAGAGGAATCCTGACTCTCAACACTTTCTTGTACAAATAAAGAAGCTCACTCACTTGCAAACACTCATGCACATACACTACACTCACAAAGAGAGAGAATTTTTGAAGAGACCATATATAGTCTAATGAAAATAACTTTAAGTTTATATCATAAAAGCAGATATAGAAGAAAGGATGAAATGGACATAACAAAAAGCAAGTAGTTTAACTATTCCTATAATTATTCCCTTAATAAAGAAGAAAATAGGTTGCTTGTTTTAAAGTGAGATTTCAAGCTTATATTTAAAATCAAGAAGCAAAAGAGAAAATAAAAGGAGATAAATGCTTACCAGAATGTAGGCCCAATTAAATGACACAGAAATGTCAATGGTCCCACACAGTAACTATGAGCTAATAACTACCTACAGTTCAAAGGCCTCAGGCTCAAGCTTATTTCTATGCAAAGTACAGTCCGTAGTTACTATAAATGCAAAGAATACAAAACATATAAAATTTGGAAACCACAAAGTCACTTATTCAACAGTTACAGTACTACTTAGTTAAAAATCAGAGTGATGTAAGTGTACATGGTCTCTGAAGGAAGATGGCATTGGCTTACCCTGACTACTTTCATTCTGACTTTCTGCTTTTCTCTTTCTTCCCCTGGATGACTCAGATTGTTTCTTCTCTGGTGTCTAAGGAAAATAAGTTAACAAAATTTTAAATTATGATCTTAATACACAAAATTATCACTGTCAATGTAAAAATAATCTTTCTTTTTGAGCATATAAAGCATTCAACAGTGCTTACAGAATGCAAATGCAATCACTGACATGCAATTTATTTACAAGATATAACTAAGGTTCACAGTTACAGAATTTGGCTTAAGGGAAAATGAGAAATCTGAAAATAATTAGCCCTTAACATTCTTAAATGAAGAAAATAGGAAAATTAACTGTTTCCTATTTTTTACTATTCATATATATTTAAGTCTACAAAAAATAAATTTCAATGAGAAAATAGGGACAGAGCACAAACTGACATATTTAACCCAAACTAAGAGACCATTCACCTGGATGCCTAGCAATTATTCCTCAAGAGCAATTATAGTAAACACATAGATTATGCTCTAAACCAGTGGTGAGCAAAGTATGAACAACAGGTCAACTCTGCTCACATGTTTTTATATAGTCCATGGCTTATACTCTTTTCTTGAGACAGTCTTACTATATAACCCAAGCAGATATCCACCTGCCTCTATCTTTTGAGTAATGGGATTACTCCTGGCTGTAACTCTGAATTCTTTACAAATAAGCATTTCTATCTTCTCCCTCACCTCTCACTTCAGGTCTAGCATGTAGTTATTACTAGGCAAATACATGAATGACTATTTAATAACTTACTCAAGGTTTGCACTACTAGTGTTATGTATCAGGAATCCAGATCAAATTTAGTTCTGTGCAATCCTCAAGTTCAAATGCTCTTTAAATTTTCTCTATTTGATGTATTACAAGCCCTGAATCAAAAACTAAATGAATTAACTACAAGTTATTTCAAAACATTACTACACATCTAACCATCATACATTGTCAAGTTTTTTTACTTTACAGTCCATAGATTTTTAAGGAAACCCTGTCAATCTACTTTTAGAATACTACAACAAGCTAAAATTTTTGTTAACATCTTTATGAAGAATCCTAACCCTATATTAAAATAAATGTAAATACTCCAATAATAATTTATTCATATTTCTTCCAACAATCAATGCCAACAAGTAAGTGTGTGTGTGTGTGTGTGTGTGTGTGTGTGTGTGTGTGTGTGTGTGTGTGTAGGGCTCACTATGCAACCTTGATTGGTCTGGAATTTGCTATGTAGACCAGACTGGCCTTGAACTTACAGTGATCCTCCTGTCTCTGCCTCTTGAGTGCTGGGATTAAAGGTGTGGGCCACCTCACCCAGCCTATAATAAATGTTATCTAATACCTAAGAAAATAAGATTTTTCAGAGTAAGTTAATGTCACACTGAATTTAAAGCACACCAATCCTACTGAATCCTATCTTTAGATTTTGACTAAACAAACAAAAAATCATAAAATTTAATTCTGAAAGTAATACTAGAGTCAATATTTTTTAAATCAGAAAATATGCTCTAAATGGTTCACTCCAAGGAACACTGATTTAGACAGGCTGGGAATGCTACATTTCAATTGTGGGCTGAGGATAAAGGGATATTCACCTGATTCAGACAGACTTCATTAGTGTAAACAATTAAAATGCCAACACTCCAGCTATCACAAGAGGGCTGGAGTAGAATAGTGATATATTAGGTACAAATTCTCAAACCTATTTGGGAAAGCATTCATTACACCGTTCACTTGATAACAATCTTAAAATATTCAAGATAATTTTTGAAAGGCATATAAAGCAGTACTTATAAAGGCTTTTTCCCTCTCAGAATGCAATTTCTCAGTAGGGGGAAATGAAATAAATCTTTGAGGAAAAGGAAAGGGTCACTTCCTTTAAAGGAGGTGGAGTAGTGATGTCACGATTACAGTAAAGAAGAAAAGCCATGAGGTTTATCTCAAATGAGATGGGAGTCTGAGAAATGACAAGGGAAAAAATAAAAAGACAAGTCTAAAACATTGTAAACTCTATTGTACAAGAGAGTGGAAACAAAGGGTAAGATTCAGAAGGACTGTATAAAGTTGAGTGAAAGACAGAGACTGGAGCCATGGTACATTTAGGTTAGCTCGTAAAGTGAACATCGCTACTGAATGCAGATCTTCTGTCCTTCTGGGATGTCCTAACGTTTCTCCCTTGTGAGCATCTTTCGCCTGTGGACATGCATGGAATATAATATCCTAATACGCTAGGTACCATCGAGTTTCTGAAGAGACTAATAAACCCATAATCACTGTTGTGTCACACCAGGAATCAATTTTCTTATCAACCTAAAATGCAATATTGTCAGCATCATAGGAATGTGGGGACTGAATAAATAAACAAACTCAGACATGGTACCTGAAGTATACTTAGCACACAATCATGTTGAAACACAACAATGAATTCTTTTATGTCAATAACTACACTATTAATCATCCCATATGTCCATGTACTTTATTTTTCAAAATATTAATTAAATGTTATAATGTAAAAGGATTAGCAGCTTCTGCCCTAATATACTTGCAAGTAATTTGTAGGCTGTGTAAAACATTTTCTATTTATGGACACATTAAAATGTGCATGCATGTGTATATATATGCAACATAGTATGTATGTATGTATGTATGTATGTATGTATGTATGTATGTATGCATGTGTGCCACAGAACACAGTTTAGGTCACTAGCATCCTTAACACAAATGTGCATAGAATATTTTATTGGGTTTAAATTTAAATAATGTTAGCAATATTGATATCAAACAAAACCAAAATCCACAATGAAGTCTCTACCACTGCCAATACTCTGAGTCATTCACCTGTATACAGGCCTGTTTGAAGATTGAGAATTTGGGAGGAAAATGTGCAGAAACTCAGCAAATATTCAATCACTACAGTGGCTCATCAGTGACAAAGTTCAGAATTTATCTGCAATTTTCAAACTGTTCCACAGTTGCCTGCAGAGAGAATAGGTTGTGTACCAGAAATTGCTAAAGGAGATAGATGTAGACAACTGAGCCAAGGCTCTAACCTACAGAGACACAACCTATGCTGTTACTACCCACAACTGCAGACACAGCACTTTATTTTAATATAGTAAGGTTCTCCTTTGAAGAAGCAGATTGTGACTCATCACACCCAATGGTTTCCTTGAAGCAATCTAAAGAATTCAATGACACCACCTGTGTATTTACATAAGGTATAAAATTTGCATAGATCAAATACTTTCTATAGAACTTTTCAAGTTTTTTATTACGCTTGCTCAATATGCCTTCTCTCCTACCTTTTCAACTAACCCACTGTAGCTGACCTCAGTAAGAATGAATAGAGTAGACCAAGTTGGATTTGTTTTACAGTGAGGTGAAAATGATGCACGATCATAAAAGGTTCAAGAATTCCAACACACAATAGAAGAGTGGTTTAGAGAAAAATGAAATAAAGACTAGCGTAAGTGGGGATTCATTTCTGCCAATAGTTTTTAGAGTCTTAGGGTGTGGCTTGTAAGTGCTGACATGATCCCTTAAAAGGAAGAGGAAGGCTTTGGCTCGTTCTCTCTTAAGGTAACAGTCTGGTAACTGATCATCATCCTACATCACAGCATCCTGTACCTCCAAGGGCAGAAGACCATGGTGGCTATTTACCTTCACTGTGTGAGTGTTCCTCAAATAAATATCTGTTATTTTTTCATTCAGGAGTTTGTGGACTTGATTACTCCACCTACAAACTAGCACTCAAACAGTTTAGCTTTACAAATGGCCAGGTTTGACAAACACTACTCTGGCATTTAAAGTTCTAAGACATTTGAACTCAACATGGTATAAATTTACAATATATTTTCTAGCAGTTGAAAATTTACTCAAAAAAACAAAGGCAAATTTTAAAGCACTCTAGAGGTGGTATAATTAAATTAAAGCTGTATTTTCATTTAAAACATAGGTGTTTATTCAACAAAGTTTTAATAGCTAATCATGTGGCTTCTTGGTTTATATTAAAACATGAAATTGTCTTTCTTCAATGTAAATAAAGTTTAAGGCAAAAAACCAATCCTAGTGCTGTGGCAAAATGAGAGGCATAAATCACTATGGATTGTATCTACAAGCCTCAAGTGAGATCATTAAAGTTGTTCAAGTAAGCACATTCCACACAGGGTTACAGTATATCAATGGAAGGGAGTAGAGTTCACAAAGCCTAACTAAACATGCAACACATATCTGATAATATCTTAACAAAATCACTAATACTAACAGGGCTATATTTAATTTCTTTCCAACTAAATCTTTAATAAATAAATTAGAAACACTATAGCTGGGTGATGGGAGGCAGAGGCAGGTGGATCTCTGTGAGTTGGAGGCCAGCCTGGTCTACAAAGCCCAACCCCAACCCTAACCCTAGCCCTAGCCCTAGCCCTAGCCCTAACCCTAACCCTAACCCTAACCCTAACGTTCCAGGGCAGGCTTCAAAGTAATACAGAGGAACCCTGTCTAGAAAAATAAAAAATAAAAATTAAAAAAAATAGAAAAGAAATTATGAACACTTTAAAACACAAAGAAAACTTATACTAAGCATCCTTGTTAAACTGGACTAAGAAAGGATAATGATGGAGAAATGTTTGTTATTTAATGTTACATATCAAAACCTCAATTCTTTTTTTTAGAAGATTTTATTTATTTATTATTAAGTATGCGGTGTTCTGTCTACAAGCCAGAAGAGGGCACCAGATCTCGTTAGAGATGGTTGTGAATCACCATGAGGCTGCTGGGAATTGAACTCAGCACCTCGGAAGAGCAGCCAGTGCTCTTAACCTCTAAAGCCTCCTAAAGCCTCAATTCTTACAAGGATAGTCAATGCAAATCAATGTCCCCTCCCCAAGAATGTCAAATGTATAAGATATTCTGTTTTCAACACTGGAGAAATTGCTCAGTTAAGAGCACTGGCTGCTCTTTCAGAGGACCAGGACTGATTTCCCAGCACCCACATGGAGGCTCACGGCTATCTGTAACTCCAGTCCCAGGGGATGCGACACCTACTTTTTCAG